GGGCCATGTACCATCAAATCTTGGGTGAGAACCTCCTTCCCTCAGCCAGGGCATTGAAAACGGGTCGTGGATGGGTATTCCAGCATGACAATGACCCAAAACACACGGCCAAGGCAACAAAGGAGTGGCTCAAGAAGAAGCACATTAAGGTCCTGGAGTGGCCTAGCCAGTCTCCAGACCTTAATCCCATAGAAAATCTGTGGAAGGAGCTGAAGGTTTGAGTTGCCAAACGTCAGCCTCGAAACCTTAATGACTTGGAGAAGATCTGCAAAGAGGAGTGGGACAAAATCCCTCCTGAAATGTGTGCAAACCTGGTGGCCAACTACAAGAAACGTCTGATCTCTATGATTGCCAACAAGGGTTTTGCCACCAAGTACTAAGTCATGTTTTGCAGAGGGGTGAAATACTTATTTCCCTCATTAAAATGCAAATCAATTGATAACATTTTTGACATGTGTTTTTCTGGATTTTTGTTGTTGTTATTCTGTCTCTCACTGTTCAAATAAACCTACCATTAAAATGATACACTGATCATTTCTTTGTCAGTGGGCAAACGTACAACATCAGCAGGGGATCAAATACCTTTTTCCCTCACTGTATAAACCTTGGATGACTGACAGTGGGCGCTGTATTGAAGCCATCTCGGAGCTCTCTTGGAACTCCTCCTCCATTGTAAATGCATTTATTAATTTCTACATTCGTTTTATACACATTTATTCTATTACAGACACCTTAATGCATACTTTTAAATTATATAATTTGAGCTAAACATAAAAATAAAAAAGGAAAAAATATATATACACATTTTCCTTCAAGTATTTTTTGGAGACTACTAATGTTACTGTCCCCACTACAACATCAAAATACTTAAATACATGTTAATTTGTCCTTGAAACATTTTATTGAAATACTGTAGGTTTATTTGATCGAATAAAAGTTTCATAATGCTTAAGTTGTTACCAGTGTACTGATATAAGTAGGACACGTGACATCCCGGCAATTTTGAGAAAAAACACTTAATATCGGAGTTGTCTCGAGATGGCTATGCATTTTCATGGCATGAGGCTAGTAGCTAGCATAGCTTCTCTCCGCAATGAGTATAGGCGGTTTACGTCAACAACCATCATCAAATATTCAAAAATGGATTACAATAATGTGATGTGCCACCAATCCAAACAAAGGACAGCCGGGAGCTAGCTGGGAGCTAGACGTTGTTTTGTGGACAACGACTCCCCATTGTTAGGGCGGAGAGACATGTATCTTGCCAGTATATCCATAATCTTTGCCAATACATAGCATCAGCAATCCAGGGTTTATATTCATCATTGATCAGGACCCCTAGTGAAAGGTCAGCACATGTACTAACAAACATGACCACACAGTGTTACTGCTGTCCTCCTGTTTAAAACCATGGTGACTCCCTATCAGCACTGGCTGACAACAGTACTGCACAGCCAGCTGAGAGAGGGGGAGGGAGGAGATAGGGAGGGAGGAGATAGGGAGGGAGGAGATAGGGAGGGAGAGAGACTGAGAGAGAGAGAGAGAGAGAGAGAGAGAGAGGAGAGAGAGAGAGAGAGAGAGAGAGAGAGAGAGAGAGAGAGAGAGAGAGAGAGAGAGAGAGAGAGGAGAGAGAGAGAGAGAGAGAGAGAGAGAGAGAGAGATTCCCTGTGGACTCATCTCATCACACCTGTGCCTGTCTGTATTAGATTTTTTCTAGAACTGATTGCTTCATTTCATATTCATGGAATATTTTTATGGAAAGATATAATGACTTCAAGATAAATGTGCTCACTACAGAACCCATACAATACATACATAAATCTATTCAGTTCCTACTGTATAGTGTTCTCTATTCTCAATTGTAATGCCTACTCATAACAGATGGTGACTGGGTCATGTCATGCAAACTCCACTGTAATACCAGCATTTTGCCACATTGCATTCAAGCTTTGTCCTTATTAGTTTTTTCATCCTCATCAGTCCTTTAATTTTGCTGGATTGATATGACATATTGTGGCCAGAGGTTTACTTTGACATTGATCTGATGGTTGTCTGCTAACAGTGCAAGATGCAGGGATACACTACTGCACAGCCAGCTGAGAGAGACAATAAAGGTAGGACTCATGTAGCAGGCTTGTAATGTATGCATAAGAATAGAGTACTGATCACTTTTGTGCACACTTTGTAAATGTTGTGTAAACAGAATCAACATTGGTCGGTTTTATGTGACTATCTTTACTGACATAGGCCTAAGCTACCTATTTAGGAATGTTACTTGGGACTGATGAGCACAGCTAAGGCGAGTAAATGGGCTAATGGGCTCTCAAAGGATGTGCTAACTTTCTCTTTCTAGGTTTGCTCAGCAACAGTCACTGTTAATCATTTATGTGTGAGAACACAAGGCAAGTTGTGTAGCTCAGTTGGTATAGTATGGCGTTTGCATCGCCAGGGTTGTGGGTTCGATTCCCACGGGGGGCCAGTATGAAAAAATGTATGTACTCACTAACTGTAAGTCGCTCTGGATAAGAGCGTCTGCTAAATGACTAAAATGTAAATGTAGTCAGGCCAATAGTGTGCAACTGCAGCCCACAATTCGGGGCCTTCCTGCATGTGGCCATTCCTGCATCTGCAGGAACGCCCCCCTAGAGCATCCCATTGGTTCCTGCATGAACCCCCCCCCCCCCCCCCCTCGAGCACCCAATTGGTTCCTGCATGAATGCCCACCCCTTGAGCACAACATCTTCATGCTTGTGACACTTTTGAATGTGGGTCAAAAGGGAAATAAAAGTATTATTTGAGCTTTTTCGTACCGCCCTGTAAACCTCCTTGCTAGCTAGTGTCTTTCGCTCCAAACACCTGCCCTCACCGTCGTGAACAGGCGGGGTGAAGGACACTGTCTACCGGTCGCCCCCCACCTCATGCTAGCACAGCAGGCGGGAGGCTGGGTCGACACCGAGTGCTAGCTAACTAGCTAGCTTGCAACACTGTGTGCTAGTTAGCTAGCAAGCGCACAGTGTCCCTCCCGCCTGCTGTGTACCTGACTAGCTGTCTAAACTAGCAGTGTCCTTTGCTCCCGCCTGTTGAACACCTGCCCTCGCCATCGTTAACGGAACTGCGGGAAAACAGTGCCTGACAGGCGGGAATGCCCACTTGCAGGAACGCCCCGAATTGCCTCCCGCAATTGCGCCCTTCTAAATCAGGCAACATAGAAACAAACAAAGAGGGCATTGTTACATAAACTGTCCGCCAGAGGTCACGTTTCTCCAAGTTATTCTTACGCGCCCCTCCGGCCCCACACACGCCGATGAGAAGGCGATGAGCAGCAGATCAGCAAAACCAAAAAAACGCTAAATAACCGGTTTATATTGGCGAGAGGGGCTGGCTGTATTGTTCAACAATTAGGGACGCGGTACGGATTTTCGACTTTAATCACGTTAATGCGTGATATATCGGCAATATCAGACACCGGAAATTGTTGGATACAGTTTGGAATCAACAATATTTGGAATCAATATTTGAGCAGCCTGAAAGCAGAATAATTCGGAAATTATGGCACCAGCTCGTTGGCGGCCATAAAGCTAAAGCAGGTAAGGGTTTTTTCACCATGAATTAATAATCCACACAGATGGAATATTGTGTTTTGTTGCATTTCAAATTAAGTTGGTGAGCAGTGAAGTTGGTAGCTCGCTCGTGTCTACTTGCAGTAAAATATCGATTGCGCTATTGCTGGTTGCCTGAACATAGTGACGCTGTTCCGTGGCAGACCGAGGCACTGTAGCCCACGTCTATTTTATACTATTCTAATTATCTGAGAATAAGAAATAGGCCCAGAATGTGGGTAACAAATCAGTATTCAGAATAGGCTATCGCTTTATATATTGTGTTACAATGTAGCCTAATCAAACCTCTGGCATGCCATGGTTACATTTCTAACAGTGTGACAAGTTAGATAGGCGCTACAGTGTAACGTTAACCAACCACGTCGTGGTTGCACCAGTAAACCATTTGTTGTGGCATTGTTTTGAAGTAAAAAACTGTCAGGTTGGTAGGTTGTATTCAGTCGGCCATGTCATGAAATAGCCAACAAACAGTGACATCAAACAGCTAGGTTACTGGGCTAATGGTGGAAATGTATAGTAGTAGGGCTGTTTTGAGTTTTAAGCAGGTGACATTCTTGCCTAGAAACCCGACGTTGAATTGCATTGAATTCTGTCGGGCAGAAATGAGCGTTTGAATCATGACCTTTTACAAGCCAAATGTTGAATAAAATGGTATGATAACATACTTCACCGGTTGTCAGTGTCCTTTTGGCGGTAGAAATGTGAGACAATAAATCCACAGGAACGTAATAATTACATACTTTTTTTAAAGCGCTGGTAGTGCTTCAGATTTATATCACCTGAAGCATGAGCACAAAATGAAGACATGCTGAGCTCTTGCAGATATTTACATCGTTCTGTGCATGCTTCAGGTGATCTGAATCTGAACGCACTACCAGCGCTTTGAAAAGTTTATGTAATTAGACTGGATGTAATGTCTCACATTCCTACCGCCAAAAGGACCAACCGCATGGACAACTGGTAATGTACATTAAAATATAATTTTATTCAACATTCTGGCTTGTAGAGGTCGTGAGAGGAAACTGTAGATTATTTTTATTTTTTTGTAGAACTCCATGCAATTCAATGTCGGGTTTCCAGGCAAGTGACATTCTTGAGAAAAGGGCATGGCACATGTGAAAACGTTGTGCACATGGTGGTGGGCGTATAGCAAGCAATAAACCATTTTCAGACAATCTGCCAAGTTGTCATCAATTAGAGAGACAAAGAGGGAAAGAGATTGACAACCTTTGTTTTTCCATCTCACACATCCTCACACACCTTTATAATATACTCCTGTCTTTAGGATACTCATGAAAACATGCCCCTGACAGTCTGGCTGGCTATACTTGTCTCAGAGCTATATGACCATGCACTGCAGATATATTTACAATAAACTTTATGGAGGCTGGTGTTTTCCTTCTGTCCATACTGTAATCCATTTGACCTTTGGAATATGGGAACCAGATGCCCCAACCCAGATCTCTCTCTCTCTCTCTCTCTCTCTCTCTCTCTCTCTCTCTCTCTCTCTCTCTCTCTCTCTCTCTCTCTCTCTCTCTCTCTCTCTCTCTCTCTCTCTCTCTCTCTCTCTCTCTCTCTCTCTCTCTCTAATTCAATTTATTGGCATGGGAAACATATGTTTACATTGCCAAAGCAAGTGAAATAGATAATAAACAAAAGTGAAATAAAAAATGAACAGTAAACATTACACTCACAAAATAATATACATTTCAAATGTCATTATGTCTATATACAGTGTTGTAACAATGTGTAAATAGTACAAAAGGGAAAATATAAAAATATAAATATAGTTTGTATTTACAATGGTGTTTGTTGTTCACTGGTTGCCCATTTCTTGTGGCAACAGGTCACAAATCTTGCTGCTGTGATTGCACACTGTGGTATTTCACCCAAATAGATATGGGAGTTTATCAAAATTGGATTTGTTTTCAAATTCTTTGTGGGTCTGTGTAATCTGAGGGAAATATGTGTCTCTAATATGGTCACACATTTGGCAGGAGGTTAGGAAGTGCAGCTCAGTTTCCACCTCATTTTGTGGGCAGTGTGCACATAGCCTGTCTTCTCTTGAGAGCCAGGTCGGCCTACAGCGGCCTTTCTCAATAGCAAGGCTATGCTCAATGATTCTGTACAGTCAAAGCTTTCCGTAATATTAGGTCAGTCACAGTGGTCAGGTATTCTGCCACTGTGTACCCTCTGTACTGTTTTTTATTAACTACCTGACACATTGGAAATAATTATCTTTTTGTATTCTCATGATTTGGTTGGGTCTAATTGTGTTGCTATCCTGGGGCTCTGTGGGGTCAGGACCGGCTTGCTTAGGGGACTCTTCTCCAGGTTAATCTCTCTGTAGATGATGGCTTTGTTATGGAAGATTTGGGGATCGCTTCCTTTTAGGTGGTCGTAGAAGTTAACGGCTCTTTTCTGGATTTTGATCATTAGCGGGTATCAGCCTAATTCTGCTCTGCATGCATTATTTTGTGTTTTACGTTGTACATTGAGGATATTTTTGCAGGATTCTGAATGTGCAGTCTCAATTTGGTGTTTGTCCCATTTCGTGAATTCTTGGTTGGTAAGCAAGACCCCAGACCTCACAACCATAAAGGGCAATGGGTTCTATAACTGATTCAAGTATTTATAGCCAGATCCTAATTGGTATGTCGAATTTTATGTTCCTTTTGATGGCATAGAAGGCCCTTCTTGCCTTGTCTCTCAGATCGTTCACAGCTTTGTGGAAGTTACATTTTACAATTTAGTCATTTAGCAGACGCTCTTATCCAGAGCGACTTACAGTTTTAGTGAGTGCATACATTTTTTATGTATTGATGTTTAGGCCGAGGTATGTATCGTTTTTTGTGTGCTCTAGGGCAACAGTGTCTAGATGGAATTTGTATTTGTGTTCCTGGACATGGACATTTTTTGGAACACCATTATTTGTGTCTTACTGAGATTTACTGTCAGGGCCCAGGTCTGATAGAATCTGTGCAGAAGATCTAGGTGCTGCTGTAGGCCCTCCTTGGTTGGGGACAGAAGCACCAGATCATCAGCAAACAGACATTTCACTTCAGATTCTAGTAGGGTGAGGCCGGGTGCTGCAGACTGGTCTCGTGCCCTCGCCAATTCGTTGATATATGTTGAAGAGGGTGGGGCTCAAGCTGCATCCCTGTCTCACCACACGGCCCTGTGAAAATAAAATTGTGTTTTTTTTGCCAATTTGAACCGCACACTTGTTCTTTTGTGTACATGGATTTTATAATGTCGTATGTTTTCCCCTCCAACACCACTTTCCAACAATTTGTATAGCAGACCCTCATGCCAAATTGAGTCAATATTCTTTGAAATCACAAAGCGTGAGAAGACTTTGCCTTTGCTTTGGTTTGTTTGTTTGTCAATTAGGGTGTGCAGTGTGAATACGTGGTCTGTCATGTGATAATTTGGTAAAAAGACAATTTGACATTTGCCCAGTACATTGTTTTCACTGAGGAAATGTACGAGTCTGCTGTTAATGATAATGCAGAGGATTTCCCCAAGTTTGCTGTTGACGCATATCCCACGGTAGTTATTGGGGTCAAATATGTCTCCACTTTTGTGGATTGGGGTGATCAGTCCTTGGTTCCAAATATTGGGGAAGATGCCAGAGCTAAGGATGATGTTAAAGAGTTTAAGTATAGCCAATTGGAATTTGTTGTCTGTATATTTTATCATTTCATTTAGGGTACCATCAACACCACAGGCCTTTTTTGGGTTGGAGGGTTTGTATGTTGTCCTGTAGTTCATTCAATGTAATTGGAGAATCCAGTGGGTTCTGCTAGTCTTTTAATAGTTGATTCTAAAATTTGTATTTGATCATGTATTTGTTTTTGCTGTTTGTTCTTTGTTATAGAGCCATGATTTCTGACGTACTTTTCCTTATTTTTCTGTAGTGTATTTCTCTATTGTTTTAGTGATTCACCATAGTGAAGGCGTAGGCTCAGGTTTTCTGGGTCTCTATGGTTTTGGTTGGATAGGTTTCTCAATTTCATTTTTAGGTTTTTGCATTCTTCATCAAACCATTTGTCATTGTTGTACATTTTCTTAGGTTGTCTGCTTGACATTTTTCAATTTGATAGGGAAGCTGAGAGGTCAAATATACTGTTTAGGTTTTCTACTGCCACATTTACACCTTCACTATTACAGTAAAACATTTTGTTCAGGAAGTTGTCTAAAAGGAATTTGTTGTTGCCTAATTATTTTTTGGTAGGTTTCCACACTACCTTCCTTCCATCTATAGCATTTCTTAATATTATGCAGTTCCTTTAGCTTTGATGCCTCATGATTGAGTATTGCTCTGTTCAAGTATACTTATTTTGCTGTGATCTGATAGGGGTGTCATTGAGCTGACTGTGAACACACTGAGATTGGGTTGAGGGTTGAGGTCAGTGATAAAGTAGTCTACAGTACTACTGCCAAGAGATGAGCTGTAGGTGAATCTACCATAGGAGTCCCCTCGAAGCCTACCATTGACTATGTACATATCCAGGTGCGACAGAGCTGCAGGAGTTGCGACACGTTTTTGTTGGTTAGGTTGTCGTAGTTGTGCCTAGGGGTTTACCTCTAACTGCAGCTGCTGTAACTCCCAGCCCTGTAACAACTAACGTAGGATCAGTTCTCCCTACACCAGTCATATGCTTAAAGTAACAGGTCACCCTATAATCAAAATTAATCCGATGTTTTCATACCTCAGGGCCTGTATTTATCAAGCGTGCTGATCTAGTATCAGGTCCTCCCTGTCAAAAATAACATGATTCAATATAATCAAAAAGGCTAAACTGATCCTAGATCAGCACTCCAAACCATTATAAATGCAGGCTCTGGTCTAAAGTGGCATAAAGTTGAGTCCATCCTCTTCACCATCTGTTGAACAGACCATTACCACAGTGTGAGTCATAATACCCATAAAACCTAGCTGTCAAACAGGGAAATGGTTCCAATTGTTTTTCCACCATTAACTTTTCCCATAGGGGATTGTAGAAACACTTCAAATAAGGAATGTGTTTCGTGTAGGCTTACCCTGGCATGACGTTTTGATAACCGTGTAAATCTCTCTCGGACAAGGTGACTTTTATCAATATATTCGCCTGTATTTACACCCCAAAAATGAAATACTAATTAGCTGCTAATGCTGCTATCATAAAGAACTACAAATGTCATGATGATCTGGACGAGACTGCCGAATCGAGGCAAAGCTAAGAATCTCTGGATTAACTGATGTTAGCTAAATGTAGTAATTAATAAATTGTCAAAATGTATTTAAATGGACAATTATGTGAACTGTTATGTTTAAGTTTTAAATGGACACTACCTGTTAGCAAAGGTGTCAGCTAGAGATGATGTGCAGGAGCTTGCAAGGATTTGTAGTTTTACATGTCTACTTTGATGCTAATTAGCAGTTTTGAATCTGAGCGTAAATAGAGCCGAATATATTGATAAAAGTCACCTTGTCCGAGAGAGATTTACACGGTTATCAAAACATCACGCCAGGGTAAGCCTACACGAAACACAGACCTTATTTTAAGTGTTTCTAAAATCCCCTATGGAAAAAAAGGCATGGTGGTAAAACGATTGGGACAATTTCCCTATTTGACCGCTAGGTTTTATGGGTATTATGACACCTCCACTGTGGAGCTCTACTGTAGAGAATTTGAGGCCCCCATCTTGGTGGTGTAATTTTTTTTTAGCAGTTTAAAGCACATTTCCTGCAATTCTACACATTTTGACATGCAGCCGAGAGAAAGTATTGCAGTTTTAAGGCAAATTTCCTGTGATTCTATATATTCTGCCATGGCTAATGCTGTGTTATTTTGCTCAACATAATAAAAAAATCAGTACTGCTAAATTCTAGGGCTGTGACAATACCAGTATTGCGATATTTTTTTCCATGGGAAAAATGAAAACATGAACCAGACCAAATTCTTTAGTCCTTTATAAACCTGCTGTATGTAAAATATTGTGTGATATAGCTTGGAAAATAAATAAATGTGACTCTGGATGAGAGCATATGGCTGTTTTCCGAAGAAGTTAAATCTGCTTCGCGTTTTCTTTCCTTGCCACGATTCTAACGAGTATTGCGACATTGGTATCGCCCTGGCCCTACTATACTGATCAAAAATATAAATGCAACATGTAAAGTGTTGGTCCCATGTTTCATAAGCTGAAAAAAAAATATCCCAGAAATGTTCCATATGCACAGAAAGCTTATTTCTCTCAGATTGTGCACACACATTTGTTTACATCCCTGTTAGTGAGCATTTCTCCTTTGCCATGATATTTTAATCTATCCACCTGACAGGTGGTTAAACAACATGATCATTACACAGGTGCACCTTGAGCTGGGGACAATAAAATTACACTCTAAAATGTGCAGTTTTGTCACTCAATACAATGCCACAGATGTCTGAAGTTTTCAGGGAGCGTGCAATTGGCATGCTGACTGCAGGAATGTCCACCAGCGCTGTTGTCAGATAATTGAATATTAATTTCCCTACCATGCATTGATGTCAGAGTGGTTAGAGCAGGGGTGTCAAACGTACGGCCCGCGGGCCGGATCAGGCCCGCAAACGGGTTTAATCCGGCCCGCGAGATGATTTTGAAGAAAAAAAAAAGAAAAATTTTTTAATTATTATTTTATTTTTTATTTTTTTAAGTATAAAAATGCGCTGCAATTTTTCAATAAAATAAACTGCTGTTCCAATTGCGTCCACTGGATGGCGCAATAGCAATTGTGTTAAGCAAGCAAACTGTTTATACCGGGGCAGAGCAAGTAGGTCAAGCACGTGCAGCCAATGAGCTACTTTTTTTTTTTCTTTTTTTTTCTTATTATTTTTTTTATATTTTTTTTTTGGAATGCGAACATACTTTATTAGAGTACTTACACAACTAACAAACAACAAAACGATACGTGAAGTCCTTGGTAACAAACACAAACCAACACGGAACAAGATCCCACAATACACTGTGCCAAACAGGCTGCCTAAGTATGGTTCCCAATCAGAGACAACAAGCAACAGCTGATTCTCGTTAACTCTGATTGAGAACCACCCCGGCCAACATAGATACACATGAACTAGATCCTAACATAGAAACACAAACACATAGAATCTACACACCCTGGCTCAACATATAAGAGTCCCAGAGCCAGGGCGTGACACCTATTTCCCATACCCCACCATACCATGAGACATGCATGTCTTCATCACTGGAAAAAATTATACTGTCAATCCTCCAGAGAAACCTGTTCAAATCCATCCTCCAGAGGAAACCTGTTCAAATCAATCCTCCAGAGGAAAACTGTTCAAATCAATCCTCCAGAGGAAACCTGTTCAAATCAATCCTCCAGAAGAAACCTGTTCAAATCAATCCTCCAGAGGAAACCTGTTCAAATCAATCCTCCAGAGGAAACCTGTTCAAATCAACCCTCCATAGGAAACCTGTTCAAATCAACCCTCCAGAGGAAACCTGTTCAAATCAGATAATACATTAGACAAGACCATTTTGAAGTTGACATTCAACATCGGGTGGACCGGCAGCCATCTTATTTTTATTTTTTTTTTTTTTTTTTTTTTATTTATTTTTTGCTCCTGAACTACTTCTACTCTCAACCTCTCCGATCATTTTCATGATGTCCATCCGGTTTGCTTCTAAATGCCATATCTTTCTAACTGTGCTCTTTCCCAAAAGCTCCCAACATACAACCTATATACTTATTATGGACACAGTATGCTTACATTATTAGCTATCTTTGTTATTATTTGTTGTTATTTGTTATTAGTCCCATCCTTCAACTCTATTCAATACCTCCCATCTATCTCTTAACACCATCCATATAGGATTTCTATTTGCCATATATATTTCAACCGTACTGTGATGTTTTACAAAAGTTCTGAACCTTTCTATTCTCATTGCTTCTACAGATTGTGAATTAAAAATAAACATTTTTGCTAAAAGTATTATTATATTATTGATTGATTGACTATGACTTTTCAGATCACCCAGTAATGCTATCTGCAAGGTTAGTTCCAGGTAAATATTGCAATCCTTTAGCCATTCCTGGACCTGTGTCCAAAAACAAGCTACAAATGGACAGAACCAAAACAAATGATCTAATGATTCTATCTCTTCACAGCAAAATCTGCAGAGCTGGGAAGATTGTATCCCCCATATAAATAACATTCTATTGGTAGCAAGAATTTTATATAATAATTTAAATTGAAAGATTCAAATTTTTGAATCCTGTGTCGTTTTGCGTGTCAGTTCATAAACACTATGCCATGGGATCGGTACGTCAAAGATCTCTTCCCAACTATTTTGCAATCTATATGGGACGGCTGTCAATCCTTTGGTCCTTAAGTGAAACTGATATACTTTTTTATTTATCACAGTTTTCCTTAACCAATTATGTTCTTTAATGCAAGGCCGACAGACAAGTTCCTTACTTTCTCCCCCTTCAACTTTCCTCTTCCACTTTTGCGGTCAATGAGCTACTTTGTTTTGCCCGCGATATTTATTACGGCTTCTACTTTTAACATTATGTGCTTTGGCACCCTCATTGCCCCAATATGTCTCTGTCAAAAAAGAGAAAAGTGGACGCAGAGTGCAGAGTGTTCCAAGAAAAATGGTCATCCTATTTAATCACGGAATTGAATGGGAAAGCTGTATGTTTGGTGTGTTCAGAGCATGTTGCAGTGCTGAAAGAATATAACCTTCGTCGCCACTATGTGAGTCTTCATGCCGACAAATATGACAACTTTCAAGGACAGCGGAGATGAGAGAAGGTGAATGAACTGTTGGCTGGTCTGAAGAAACAGCAGTCTGTGTTTACTCACAGCCGAGACATCAGTGACGCTGCAGTGAAAGCTAGCTACCTCATTGCTAATGAAATCGCAGTGGCTTCAAAACCATTTAGTGAGGGTGAATTTGTAAAAACATGCATGATGAAGGCAGTGGAGATTGTGTGCCCTGAAAAGCGCCAGGCTTTTGCAAATATCAGCCTGAGAAGAAACACAGTTGCAGACAGGATTTCCGATCTTTCAGTGGATTTGGACAGCCAGTTGAAGCAAAAAGTAAAGTCATTTATTGCGTTTTCGGTTGCAATTGATGAAAGCACGGACATTACAGATGTTGCACAACTGGCCATTTTCATCCGCGGAGTTGATGACACATTGACCGTCACCGAGGAGTTCGTGGAGTTGGTGCCGATGACAGATACAACGACAGCAGCTGATATTTTCACCGCACTCGTCGGCGCGCTGGACAGGGTCGGAGTGGACTGGTCCCGCGCTGTCAGCCTGGCTACAGATGGTGTGCCCTCAATGATCGGGAAAAAAGCAGGCGTTGTGACAAAGTTCAGAGAGAAAGTGCAATCTGCAAATGGAGGACGGTATTTTTTGACTTTTCACTGTATTTTGCACCAGGAGGCTTTGTGTTGCAAGTCATTAAAGATGGATAACGTCATGAAGGTGGTCATCCAAACTGTTAATTTCATCCGATCCAGAAGCCTGAATCACCGTCAGTTTGACAGCCTTCTCAGAGAGAAAGACCACATCTATGGCCTGCCATACCACACTGAGGTAAGATGGTGCTGAGCCGAGGTGCTGTGCTGAGGCGTTTCTTTGATTTACGAGAAGAAATTGAACAGTTCATGGAAGAAAAGGGCAAACTAGTGTTAGAATTTCATTCCGCAGAATGGATGCCGGACCTTGCATTTATGGTGGATGTTACAGAGCACCTGAATAACTTGAACAAACAGCTGCAAGGGCGCAACAAAGTTGTCACGCAGTATTATGACAGCATACGTTCTTTCAAGTTGAAGCTGTCATTGTGGGAGACGCAACTTGCCGGTGGTGATGCAGCTCACTTCCCCTGTCTGAAAAATGTGTGCGCGACCCAACATGTGGCAGACATGAAGCGGTTCAAAGATAAAATAACTGGACTGTTACGGGAGTTTGAGCAACGCTTTCAGATTTATGTTTATATGTTTTTATGTTGATGTGCTATTGTTTTTAATTGATTTTATTTTTATTTGTATATTTAAACCTATTCTTGACTCTGTGGTTCTTGCACTTGTTTGGGGAACAGGATTTCATTATTTTTATCTACATTTCTGCCTGAGAAATGACACCCTGATATAGTTCTGTGATCTGTGAAACAGTTCTGTTAATCACTGAGGCATTGTGTGTTTGTGTGTTCTTTTTCTTTAGAATTTTCAAATAAACTTGACGTGTTTTATGATTAATAGTGATGTTGTGCTTGTACTATTTTGGACACACTGTCCTCAGGCTCCAGCTTTATGTTGTATGTTGATCGTATTAAAACAAAGAAAACAATCTGAAGTTGTTGTTTTTAAGTTATATATACCATGATTTTTCCGGTCCGGCCCACTTGGGAATAGATTTTCCTCCATGTGGCCCCTGAGCTAAAATGAGTTTGACACCCCTGGGTTAGAGATACAATAAAGCCCTGAGTATCAGGCCATTAGCGACCTGATGATCATTATCGAGTTGGGTACTACTAATGCATGTCCATAGTGCAGAAGAGGAGATTACTGTGACTCAACGGTCACGTAGAATTTTACTGCGGTGATGACTCATAACTGCCGGTGTGGCGGTAACATGGTCACCGCAACAGTCCTAGTCGAGGGTAACTATGCTACCACTTAGCTTCGGTTTTCAAAACAAATACAACAAAATGAGAGCCTAAGTGTCAAGTACACCATAATGCAAGTACTTACTAGTTTGTTACAATGTGTAGCGCAGGTTACTTCATTGCTAGATCCTCTGGTATAAAGCCTATGTGGTGTACCATGTGATTGACAGACATCCCTATCACTGATGTTAGATCACAGAGGGATACAGCCACTTCCATTAACCAAAGACGTTAGGACCTTTATTTTTTTATTTTTTTCACCTTTAATTAACCAGGTAAGCATTGCTGTAATGTTGTTGACACATCCAGTAGGATTCAGCTGTCAGACCAGTTAGTCTGGTTGTGTTCAGGCTGTTGTTTTATAGACTGTGGATATAGGACCATTACTACTAATATAGGTATGCACTGCAGAGAGCCAACAGAGTATAGGAAAGGGATTATTTATGAAGTTGGAGGTGTGGATAATTTCAACATTCTCTAAACAGCTTTATTAGTGGCAGTTACCCTACCTCACAGGACCTCTACCAACGATCATGTCCTGTTATGACATCTTATGTCATGTCATGATCTCCAGTACAGCAACTGTATAATCATCAGCTATAATATAAATGAAAAGCATCCCTTCCTCTGTACTGAGGCTGAGCAGAACAATAGGACAGTTGATCCCAGAATGGAACTGGTTAGATGGCAGAGACATTTGACATCCTTGGGCGCTATCAAGTATGTAGAAAAGATAATGGACTTATATATTTTCTATAATCTTTGAGAATTTACAATCACGAAAATAAAAGACCATCAGGGAGAATTGAAAATTCTCAAAAAAATTAATTTAAACTGAACAAAAATATAAACACAACATGCAACAATTTCAACGATTTTACTGAGTTACAGTTCATATAAGGAAATCAGTCAATTGAAATGAATTCATTAGGCCCTAATCTATGGATTTCATATGACTGGGCCATGACTGGGCCTGGGAGGGCAGGCCCAGCCAATCAGAATGAGTTTTTCCGGACAAAAAGGCTTTATTACAGACAAATACTCCTCAGTTTCATCTGTTGTCCGGGTGGCTGGTCTCAGATGATCCCGCAGGTGAAGAAGCCGGATGTGGAGGTCCTGGGCTGGCGTGGTTACACGTGGTCTGCGGTTATGAGGCTGGTTGGACGTACTGCCAAATTCTCTAAAACGACGCTTATGGTTGAGAAATTAACATGAAAGTATCTGGTAACAGCTCTGGTGGACATTCCTGCAGTCAGCATGCCAATTGCACACTCCCTCAAAACTTGAGACATCTGTGGCATTGTATTGTGTGACAAAACTGCACATTTTAGAGTGGCCTTTTATTGTCCCCAGCACAAGTGCACCTGTGTAATGATCATGCTGTTTAATCAGCTTCTTGATATGCTCCACCTGTCAGGTGGATGGATTATCTTGGCAAAGGAGAGCTCCTCACTAACAGGGATGTGAACAAATTTGTGCGCAACATTTGAGAGAAATACGCTTTTTGTGCGTATGGGATCTTTTATTTCAGCTCATGAAACATGGGACAACACTTTACATGTTGCGTTTTATATTTTTGTTCAATATAGATGTTCCAAAGGTGCGCATCTGCGGCTTGTATGCGTGGAAGCTTGGAGATGCTAAACTTGTTTATGTTAATTAACGGTCAATTACCATGAGACCGGCAGGCTTTTGCGTGACAATAACCGTCTGACAAAATTTCATGACTGCCACAGCCCTACCGTCACCTAATGCCAATGTAATGTCAAGTGTTGCATGCCATGTTTCTATCAGCAGATACAATCCTCATACCGTAGTCTTTAATACAGTGTATGCAATCCATTGTGAGGATACATGCAGGTACATGCTTGCACAGACACAGACAGACAGACGCATGCACACAAAAACACACGCACACAGAAACGCACGCACACACACCACAACTGTATACGTGGTCAGTAGAGCTCACCAGGGAACAGGTTCACAATATAAAACTCTGAAACAGTTTATAAGACCAGGATGTCTGTAGTCTCTAGTGTGTGTGTCGTGTGTGTGTGTCTGGTTGTGTATTTCCATCTGTTTGTGTTTGTCTGTGTTAACGTTTGTGTGAATGCATACAGAAAAGAGTGAGTGGGATGTCATGAGGTTCCTTCTGGTGAGAGGGAGGATGGAGAGAGGGAGGTAGGTAGAGGGAGGATGTGGGGGATGAGAGAGGGAGGTGTAATGCTGGTGAACGTGTGACATCTCTGCAGTGTCATTACTCTGGCATCAGCTGGCTGTAGCAGAAAGGGGTGCTGCAACTTTTGTGGAATACTTCAGCAGCTTAGTGTGTGTTGGGTTGGTGGGGGAGGGGGATGGGTGTGGGTGTGGGTGTGGCGATGACAGCGGCCCCTTTGTCTCTGGACTGCCGAGCCGTGTGAACAAATCTGAGTCTGACCCTCCTCACGTGACACACACACACAGCCCCCCTCCCCATCCTTTGTTCTTTCAATCTGTGAACCCCCCCTCTAATTGAATGGGATTATATCCCTCTGGTGGACAGATTCTAGGGGGTTGGATCTGGCCTTGGTCCACACATCACCTAACCACCCTAACTTTATCCCCCTCCAACAATGTGGCCCCTCCTCCATCGCCACCTCTTCCCTACCCTCTCCTCAGCCCCACTCTGGGTTGCTCCCTCCCGGGCTACAGGCCATGCAGTTTGCTTCCTGTACGGAGGATCCATCTCCACCCCCACACTCACCCTCTCCACTTATTGATCCTTCTCTGGGTTGCTCCCCCCCGGGCTACAGGCCAGGCCCTGCCATCCCTCCTGCACTGGAGCTTCCTCACCGTGGCAACCAAATGGCTGACACTCAAGGAGATTGAAGGACAGTCAATGCATGGACTGTGTTGCCTGGTTACAGAGAGAGCCAATACATCTGTCTTTTCTAGTGACCCGTGTGTGTGTGTGTGTGTGTGTGTGTGTGTGTGTGTGTGTGTGACTCTTCATCTGTTGACGTCTGGAGCTGAGCCTGTGTTTATAAACATGCCTGGGTCTTGGCTGGCTAATTTATTAGAGGAGACACATACACAGTCTCACGCCTTGGCAGTCTTGTTCATTAAAGTTGTGATTATCTGTCTCTCTAATGTATTCCTGACATCTCATCTCACCACAACCCAGAAGCTTAGAATGGAACAGGGTGTTGAAATGGAAGCTGTGTGCCAAAGGTATGAATAGTTGAAGTGTCCTGATTGATGTGATCAGAATATTTTTTTTTACATACCTCCCCCTTTCCTCTTGACTTTCCGTTTTCACTCTAGTTCTCCCTCTCTTACACACACACACATACACACTGTTGTTCAGTATCGGCTTGCCACAGAGCTGCAGTAGGCCAGACAGACACGTGTCCCCGTCAGTTGTGTCAGGCTGTCAGCCAGGATAAAGGAGGTCAGAGTCAGGAGCACCACAAGGCTCCAACTGAACAGATGATAGAAAGCTGTCTGCTTTCCCTCTATTTTGGGGGGGATTCCACCACACACGCACACGCAGACACATGCACGCATGCAAACACGCAGACACACGCATGCATGCAAACACACACACACACCCTGTGAGAACTTCTTGAAGGAGGGTCACACTCTGGGTCTCGGTGGGAGTGGCATGCCTGGTCTCCATGGTAACCGGGGTCAGGAGAGCTCATAACAGAGGCAGAGGAAACCAGATGTATTGTCTCATAGAGACCCAACAGACAACAAAGACAGACATCTGAGTGTTAGCTTGTCTGATTCAGGACCATGAAGGCTTTCCCATACACAGCTCTGACAGAGAGAATAGAGCAGGATGTAGGAAAGAGAGCAGTCACATGTCAGAGAGAGACAGATAGAGAGACACTACATACACTATGGAACACAAAGATTTTACTATCTCATCCTGTAATATACAAGATCTGAGGTCATCTGCCTTTGGCCTAAAGAGCAGGAACCCAGACTTCATCAAAGAAATTGGAAATACAGACATTGTCATCCTACAAGAATCATGGTATAGAGGAGACGGTCCCACTGGTTGCCTTCTAGGTTACAGAGAGCTGGTAGTCCCATCCACCAAACTACCAGATGTGAAACAGGGAAGAGACTCCGGGTATGCTAATTTGGTATAGAGCAGACCTAACCCACTCTATTAAATTAGTCAAAACAGGAAAATTTTACATCTGGCTAGAAATTAATAAGGAAATTATCTCAACAGAGAAATGTTATTGTGTGCTACCTATAACCCCCCCCCATACTTTAAAGATGGCATCTTCTCCATCCTAGAGGGGGAGATCAACCATTTCCAGGCCCAGAGACATGTACTAGTCTGTGGCGACTTAAATGCCAGAACTGGACAAGAACCTTAGCACACAGGGGGACAAACACCTGCCTGGTGGCGACAGCATTCCCTCCCAAATATTTTTTACTTATTTCACCTTTATTTAACCAGGTAAGCCAGTAAATGAGAACTTTTTCTCAACAACTGCGAGCTGGCAAATATGCCCCCCCCCCAGACACAACTATGACAAAACAACCAACAAAAACGGGTCACAGCTCCTGCAGCTCTGTCGCACGATGGGTCTGTACATAGTCAACGGTAGGCTTCGAGGGTACTCTTACGGTAGGTACACCTACAGCTCATCCCTTGACAGTAGTACTGTAGATTACTTTATCGCTGCCCTCAACCCAGAGTCTCTCAGAGCGTTCAGTCAGCCCACTGACACCCCTGTCAGATCTCAGCAAAATCACAGTCTACTTGAACAGAGCAATACTCGAATTATGAGGCATCAAAGCTAAAGGAACTGCATAATATTAAGAAATGCTATAGATTGAAGAAAAGTATTGTAGAAACCTACCAACAACAAATGCAATCCCTTCTAGACATCTTCCTGGACAAAATGTTTCACGGTAATTCAACATGTCCCTGACTGAGTCTGTAATACCAACATGTTTCAAGCAGACCACCATAGTCCCCGTGCCCAAGGACTCTAAGATAACCTGCCTAAATGACTACCGACCCGTAGCACTGACGTCTGTAGCCATGAAGTGCTTTGAAAGGCTGGTCATGGCTCACATCAACAGCATTATCCCAGAAACCCTAGACCCACTCCAATTTGCATACCGCCCCAACAGATCCACAGATGATGCAATCTCTATCGCACTCCACACTGCCCTTTCCCACCTGGACAAGAGGAACACCTACGTGAGAATGCTATTCATTGACTACAGCTCAGCATTCAACACCATAGTGCCCTCTAAGCTCATCACTAAGCTAAGGATCCTGGGACTAAACACCTCCCTCTGCAACTGGATCCTGGACTTCCTGACGGGCCGCCCCCAGGTGGTAAGGGTAGGTAACAACACATCAGCCACACTGATCCTCAACACGGGGGCCCCTCAGGGGTGCGTGCTCAGTCCCCTCCTGTACTCTCTGTTCACCCATGACTGCATGGCCAGGCACGACTCCAACACCATCATTAAGTTTGCCGACGACACAACAGTGGTAGGCCTGATCACCGACAACGATGAGACAGCCTATAGGGAGGAGGTCAGAGATCTGGCCGTGTGGTGCCAGGACAACAACCTCTCCCTCAACGTGACCAAGACAAAGGAGATGATTGTGGACTACAGGAAAAAAAATAGGACTGAGCACGCCCCCATTCTCATCGACGGGGCTGTAGTGGAACAGGTTGAGAGCTTCAAGTTCCTTGGTGTCCACATCACCAACGAACTATCATGGTCCAAACACACCAAGACAGTCGTGAAGAGGGCACGACAAAGCCTATTCCCCCTCAGGAGACTAAAACGATTTGGCATGGGTCCTCAGATCCTCAAAAAATTATACAGCTGCACCATCGAGAGCATCCTGACTGGTTGCATCACCGCCTGGTATGGCAACTGCTTGGCCTCTGACCGCAAGGCACTACAGAGGGTAGTGCGTACGGCCCAGTACATCACTGGGGCAAAGCTTCCTGCCATCCAGGACCTCTATACCAGGCGGTGTCAGAGGAAGGCCCTCAAAATTGTCAAAGACTCCAGCCACCCTAGTCATAGACTGTTCTCTCTGCTACCGCACGGCAAGTGGTACCGGAGTGCCAAGTCTAGGTCCAAAAGACTTCTCAACAGCTTCTACCCCCAAGCCATAAGACTCCTGAACAGCTAATCATGGCTACCCGGACTATTTGCACTGCCCCCCCACCCCATCCTTTTTACGCTGCTGCTACTCTGTTAATTATTTATGCATAGTCACTTTAACTCTACCCACATGTACATATTACCTCAACTACCTCAACTAGCCGGTGCCCCCGCACATTGACTCTGCAACGGTACCCCCCTGTATATATAGCCTCCCTACTGTCACTTTATTTTACTTCTGCTCTTTTTTTTCTCAACACTTTTTTTTGTTGTTTTATTCTTACTTTTTTGGTTTAAAATAAATGCACTGTTGGTTAAGGGCTGTAAGTAAGCATTTCACTGTAATGTCTGCACCTGTTGTATTCGGCGCATGTGACCAATAAAATTTTATTTGATTTAATAGTGAAGGTGTAAACTTGGCAGTAGAAAACCTAAACAGTATATTGGACCTCTGTTTCCCAATCAAATAAAAAAAAGTCAGGCAGACAACACAAGAAAATGAACAACAATGACAAATGGTTTGATGAAGAATGCAAAAAACCTAAGAAAGACATTGAGAAACCTATCCAACCAAAAACATAGAGACCCAGAAAACCTGAGCCTACGCCTTCAATATGGTGAATCACTCAAACAATACAGAAATACACTATGGAAAAAGAAAGAACAGCTCAATGTCAGAAATCAGCTCAATGTAATTAAAGAATCCGTAGAATCTAACCACTTCTGGGAAAATTGGAACACACTAAACAAACAACAACACGAAGAGTTATCTATCCAAAATGGAGATGTATGGATAAACCACTTCTCCAATCCTTTTGGCTCTATAACAAAGAACAAACAGCAAAAACAAATACATGATCAAATACACATTTTAGAATCAACTATTAAAAGACTAGCAGAACCCACTGGATTCTCCAATTACATTGAATGAACTACAGGACAACATACAAACCCTCCAACCCAAAAAGGCCTGTGGTGTTGATTTGTATACTAAAATGATTTGATAAAATGTACAGACCACAAATTCCAATTGACTATACTTAAACTCTTTAACATCATCCTCAGCTCTGGCATCTTCCCCAATATTTGGAACCAAGGATTGATCACCCCAATCCACAAAAGTGGAGACAAATATGACCCCAATAACTACCGTGGGATATGCGTCAAAAGCAACCTTGGAAAATCCTCTGCATTATCATTAACAGCAGACTCGTACATTTCCTCAGCTAAAACAATGTACTTAGCAAATGTCAAATTGTCTTTACATACGACATTATAAAATCCATGCACACAAACAACAAGTATGCGGTTAGAATTGGGGTGAGACAGGGATGCAGCTTGAGCCCCACCCTCTTCAACATACGGTACAGTGAATTCGGAAAGTATTCAGACCCCTTGACCTTTTTCGTCTTTGTTACGTTACAGCCTTGTTCTAAAATGGATTCAATAGTCCCCCCCCCCTCATAAATCTACAAACAATACCCCATAATGGCAAAGCAAAAACAGGTTTTAAAATTTTTTGCTATGAAAAAAACAAAACAAAACGAATATCACATTTACATAAGTATTCAGACCCTTTACTCAGTACTTTGTTGAAGCACCTTTTGGCAACAATTACTGCCTCAATTCTTCTTGGGTATGAGGCTACGAGCTTGGCGCACCTGTATTTGGGGAGTTTCTCAGATTCTTCTCTGCAGATCCTCTCAAGCTCTGTCAGGTTGAATGGGGAGCGTCGCTGCACAGCTATTTTCAGGTCTCTCCAGAGATGTTGGATCGGGTTCAAGTCCAGGCTCTGGCTGGGCCACAAGGACAGTCAGAGACTTGTCCCAAAGCCACTCCTGCGTTGTCTTGGCTGTGTGCTTAGGGTCGTTGTCCTGTTGGAAGGTGAACCTTCGACCCAGTCTGATGTCCTGAGCACTCTGGAGCAGGTTTTCATCAAGGATCTCTCTGTACTTTGCTCCGTTCATCTTTCCCTCGATCCTGACTAGTGTCCCATTCTCTGCCGCTGAAAAACATCCCCACAGCATGATGCTGCCACCACCAAGCTTCACCGTAGGGATGGTGCCAGGTTTCATCCAGACGTGACGCTTGGCATTCAGGCCAAATAGTTTCATCTTGGTTTCATCAGACCAGAGAATCTTGTTTCTCATGTTCTGAGTCCTTTAGGTGCCTTTTGGCAAACTCCAAGCGGGCTTCCGTTTGGCCACTCTACCATAAAGGCCTGATTGGTGGAGTGCTGCAGAGATGATTGTCCTTCTGGAAGGTTCTCCCATCTCCACAGAGGAACTATGGAGCTCTGTCAGAGTGACCATCAGGTTCTTAGTCACTTCCCTGACCAAGACCCTTCTCCCCCGATTGCTCAGTTTGGCCGGGCGGCTAGCTCTAGGAAGAGTCTTGGTGGTTCCAAACTTCTTCCATTTAAGAATGATGGAGGCAACTGTGTTCTTGGGGACCTTCAATACCGCAGACATATTTTGGTTCTGTTCCCCAGATCTGTGCCTCGAAACAATCCTTTCTCTGAGCTCTACGTACAATTCCTTCGACCTCATGGCTTGGTTTTTGCTCTGACATGCACTGTCAAAAGTGGGACCTTATATAGACAGGTGTGTGTCTTTCCAAATCATGTCCCATCAATTGAATTTACCACAGGTGGACTCCAATCAAGTTGTAGAAACATCTTAAAGATGATCAATGGAAACGGGATGCACCTGAGCTCAATTTTGAGTCTCATATCAAAGGGTTTGAATAGTTATGTAAATAAGGTATAAATATATAAGGTATCTGTTTTATAAAAAATAAATTCGCAAACATTTCTGAACCTGTTTTCACTTTGTCATTATGGGGTATTGTGTGTAGATTGATGAAGACATTTTTTTATTTAATCCATTTTAGAATAAGGCTGTAACATAACAAAGTGGAAAAATGGAAGGGGTCTGAATACTTTCCGAATGCACTGTATATATCAATGAATTGGCGAGGTCACTAGAACAGTCTGCAGCACCCGGCCTCACCATCCAGTTGCCAGGACCACAAATGCAAATTCCATCTAGTCTCCGTTGCCCTAGAGCACACAAACTATACGTACCTCGGCCTAAACATCAGCACCACAAGTAACTTCCCCAAAGCTGTGAACGATCTGAGAGACAAGGCAAGAAGGGCCGCCTACGCCATCAAAAGGAACATAACATTCGACATACCAATTAGGATCTGGCTGAAAATACGTGAATCAGTTATAGAACCCATTGCCTTTTATGGTTGTGAGGTCTGGGGTCTGCTCACCACCCAAGGATTCACAAAAAGTGACAAACACCAAATTGAGACTCTGCATGCAGAATTCTGCAAAAATATCCTCAGTGTACAACGTAAAACACAAAATAATGCATGCAGAGCAGAATTAGGCTGATACTCGCTAATGATCAAAATCCAGAAAAGAGCCGTTAACTTCTACAACCACCTAAAAGGAAGCGATCCCTAAATCTTCCATAACAACAAAGCCATCACCTACAGAGAGATGAACCTGGAGAAGAGTCCCCTAAGCAAGCTGGTCCTGACCCCACTGAGCCCCAGGATAGCAACACAATTAGACCCAACCAAATCATGAGAAAACAAAAAGAGAATTACTTGACACATTGGAAAGAATTAACAAAAAAACAGCGCAAACTAGAAGGCTATTTGGCCCTAAACAGATGTACACAGTGGCAGAATACCTGACCACTGTGACTTACCCAAAATTAAGGAATGCTTTGACTATGTACAGACTCAGTGAGCATAGCCTTGCTATTGAGAAAGACCGCTCTAGGCAGACCTGGCTCTCAAGAGAAGACAGTCTATGTGCATACTGCCCACAAAATGAGGTGGAAACAGAGACGCACATCCTGACCTCCTGCCAAATGTATGACCATATTAGAGACATATTTCCCTCAGATTACACAGACCCACAAAGAATTTGAAAACAGGGAAGAGATTTTTGACGTACCGATTCCATGGCATAGTGTTTATGAACTGATACGCAAAACGACGCCGGATTCAAAACTTAGTATTTTTCAATTAAAATGTTTATATAAAATTATTGCTACCAATTGAATTTGTATGGGGGATACAATCTTCCCAGCTCTGCAGATTTGGCTGTGAAGAGACAGAATCATATCATTTGTTTTGGTACTGTCCATTTGTAGCTTGTTTCTGGACACAGGTCCAGGAATGGCTGAAGGATTGCAATATTTGCATGGAGCTGACCCTGCAGATGGCACTACTGGGTGATCTGAAAAGTCATAGTCAATCGATCAATAATATAATAATACTTTTAGCAAAGATGTTTATTTTCAATTCACAAACTGTAGAAACAATGAGAATAGAAAGGTTCAGAACTTTTGTAAAACATCACAGTACAGTTGAAAAATATATGGCAGATAGAAATCCATTATGGATGGTGTTAAGAGATAGATGGGAGGTGTTGAATGGAGCTGAAGAATGGGACTAATAACAACAACTAATAACAAGATAACTAGTGGAAGACATGCTGTGTCCATAATAAGTATATAGGTTATATATTGTGAGCTTTTGTGAAAGAGCACAGTTAGAAAGATATGGTATATAGAAGCATACCAGATGGACATCATGAAAATGATCGGAGAAAGTTCAGGAGTAAAAACAAACAAAGTATAATTATTGACTGTGTCCATAAAATGTATATAGTATGTATAAGCATGAAGTAGAGGCCTAAGCATTGTTGTTCACTAGTTTACTCCAATTAGGAAAGGGATGGTGGGGTTGGAAAGTAATAAAGGGAAATATATACAGTGGGGAGAACAAGTATTTGATACACTGCCGATTTTGCAGGTTTTCCTACTTACAAAGCATGTAGAGGTCTGTAATTTTTATCATAGGTACACTTCAACTGCGAGAGACGGAATCGAAAACAAAAATCCAGAAAATCACATTGTATGATTTTTAAGTAATTCATTTGCATTTTATTGCATGACATAAGTATTTGATCACCTACCAACCAGTAAGAATTCCGGCTCTCACAGACCTGTTAGTTTTTCTTTAAGAAGCCCTCCTGTTCTCCACTCATTACCTGTATTAACTGCACCTGTTTGAACTCGTTACCTGTATAAAAGACACCTGTCCACACACTCAATCAAACAGACTCCCTCAGTAAGAGCATTGAAGATGGGTCGTGGCTGGGTCTTCCAGCATGACAACGACCCGAAACACACAGCCAGGGCAACTAAGGAGTGGCTCCGTAAGAAGCATCTCAAGGTCCTGGAGTGGCCTAGCCAGTCTCCAGACCTGAACCCAATAGAAAATCTTTGGAGGGAGCTGAAAGTCCGTATTGCCCAGCGACAGCCCCGAAACCTGAAGGATCTGGAGAAGGTTTGTATGGAGGAGTGGGCCAAAATCCCTGCTGCAGTGTGTGCAAACCTGGTCAAGACCTACAGGAAACGTATGATCTCTGTAATTACAAACAAAGGTTTCTGTACCAAATATTAAGTTCTGCTTTTCTGATGTATCAAATACTTATGTCATGCAATAAAATGCAAATTAATTACTTAAAAATCATACAATGTGATTTTCTGGATTTTTGTTTTAGATTCCGTCTCTCACAGTTGAAGTGTACCCATGATAAAAATTACAGACCTCTACATGCTTTGTAAGTAGGAAAACCTGCAAAATCGGCAGTGTATCAAATACTTGTTCTCCCCACTGTATGTATATGTATATATGTATATGTATATATATATATATATATATATATATATATATATATATATATATATATATATATATATATATATATATAGTGCTATGAAAAATTATTTGCCCCCTTTCTAATTTCCTCTACTTTTGCATATTTGTGATACTGAATGTTATCAGATCTTCAACCAAAACCTAATATTAGATAAAGGGAACATAAGTGAACAAATAACACAAAAATTACATATTTATTTCATAAACGAAGTAATGCAACACCCAATTCCCCTGTGTGAAAAAGTAATTGCCCCATTACACTCAATAACTGGTTGTGCCACCTTTAGCTGCAATGACTCCAACCAAATGCTTCCTGTAGTTGTTGATCAGTCTCTCACGTCGCTGTGGAGGAATTTTGGCCCACTCTTCTATGCAGAACTGCTTTAACTCAGTGATGTGTGGGTTTTCAAGCATGAACTGTTCGTTTTCAAGTCCTGCCACAACATCTCAATTGGGATTAGGTCTGGACTTTGACTAGGCCATTCCAAAACTTCCAATTTGTTGCTTTTTAGCAATTTTCATGTAGACTTGATTGTGTGTTTTGGATCATTGTCTTGCTGCATGACCCAGCTGCGTTTCAGCTTCAGCTCACAGACGGATGGTGTGACATTCTCTGATACAGAGCAGAATTCATGGTTCCTTCTATTAAGGCAAGTCGTCCAGGTCCTGAGGCAGCAAAGCATCCCCAAACCATCACACCACCACCATCATGCTTGACCTTTGGTATGATGTTCTTACTGTGGAATGCAGAGTTTGGTTTTCGCCAGGCATTACTGGAATCATGTCGTACAAAAAGTTATACTTTTGAATCATCTGTCCATAGAATGTTCTTCCAAGAGTCTTGATGATCATCCAGGTGCTTTTTGGCAAACTTTAGTCAACTTTTTGGACGAGATGGGTCCCATTATGCCTGGCGAAAACCAAACACTGCATTCCACAGTAAGAACAGCATACCAAAGGTCAAGCATGGTGGAAATGGCGGAGCCATTTATGCATAGTGCATCTTTAAATCAAATGTTACAGAGGAAAGTGAAGATCAAGTTAAAGTGGGTGGGTAATAGCTGTGGAATTCACATTGAACTGAGAGTATTTGGCATCTTTGGCAGAAGAGAAACACATCCCTCAGTCTCACTTTGACTTTACTTGCTATTTTTTACTCTTTCTGATAACCTCTCTCTCTCTCTCTCCACAGAGTGTATTCTGAGCCCCATGTCTCTTCTCTGGAAGCTCTAGCACCGGTGTCTTCCTCTCCTGTCAGTGGTGGCGACCCCTGTAGGAGCATGTCGGCAGCACAGACTCAGAAGGACAGCGAGGGTCCTTGGGGACTGGACTCCCTGGGCCTGAGCCAGAGAGAGCTGGTCCTGGCTGAAGCCCTACAGATGGAGTATGATGCCCTGTCCAGACTCAAACAGGACAAGGGGGTGGACAGCCAGGGGACCAGCAGCCAGGGGGGTGGGAAGGTACCTAAGCAACTCCCCTGGGAGGGCCAGACGCAGGTCGATCGCCCCCTCCCACCCTGCCCCAGTCTTAGTCCTCCTGGAAGGAGTTTGCTAAGAGGGCTATCTTGCTCGGACCCCTCCCTCCACCACCTCCAGCCTGGGGGGTCCCACTCCCCACAGCCCTCCCCAGCCAGGGCCACCTCTCCTCAGGGAAGCCATAGCAAGGAGCCCATCTATATCCTGGAGAGTCCAGGGAAGGGAGACTACCTGAGCTCCAGCTATGGGGAGTCTGGGTCTACCTATGGTTCTTCTCTGACTCTGCCTAAAGGCTTCCCCCCTCCTCCTGATGACCCTCCTCCTGCTGTACCCCCCAGGACCCCTCTACCCCCCTCCTCTGAGCCCTTCCTGCCCCCCCGACCCGCTACGACTCCCCGAGATGTCAACCTGTTCACCCCCGATGTGGACAAGCCCAAACTGTCGTCAGGTGAGATGCTAAACTACGAGAGCCTCAACGACGCTCTCTCCAAGCTCAATGGGGATTGGCCATCGCCAAGGGGTAGGCGGGCCAACGGGGACCAATCAGGGAAGCCGGTGGCTCGGGGGAGTAAGACTCTCCCCCCTCAGGTGCCCCCCCGCACCTACTTACCTATCCAGAAGAGCAACAAGAACCAGCACAGAGTGTCAGCCGTCCCGGTAACTACTCACCCTATGACAGACTATGACAGGGTTACGGCCGGTTCACGACAGCTTCATTACGTGACTTAGCATGACATAGCATTAATTCACATCTAGCATTGTTACCTCATACCCTCATTCCATGTTTCCATAGGGAAACCTAGACACAAATAAAGAAGCCTTGAAATGTCTAGTTTTGTTTTATCCCCAGTTTAATTCAATCCAGTCAAGTCCAGCCCAGCTGTGTTCTGTTATGTTGAGTTATGTGACTCTGATCTTTCCTGTGTCTCTGTGTGTGTGTGATTGACAGGTGTCCCTGGGCCCCAGGCTCAATGGTTTTGGCTATGAGCTCTTCCAGGTGTCAGAGGAGAGAGATGAGGAGGTTGCAGCCTTCTGTCACATGCTCGATGTGTAAGTGTATGGCCCAATCCCAAATCGACCCCTACACCCAATGCACTTGTGGAGATCTGAGAGGATTTGATTGATATAAGCCATATGGTTAAACTTCCACCTACGGTATTAGAAGGAAAGATGGAGCTATTGCCACATTGCTTACACCTATCACATCCTCTCAGAACTCCACATAGGACATAGTGTTTGGGGTTGATTTGGGATTGGGGCCAAATGTTACCCTTTTACCCTCAGTCAGGCTGTGTCATGGTTTTGTTGTGGTTGTATTATGGTCAGATTGTGGTCAGGCTGACTATATGCAGTTATCACCATGACTGTGTGTTGTCAGGCTATTTATTATCTGTTAATAATCATCCCTGTGTGTTGTGGTTGTGTTGTGTTCAGATTGCGGTCTACGTATCCGTGCAGCGACCGGTCTAAGAACACAGGGTTTGTGTGGTCACCCTCAGTGGGGCCGGAAGAGCTGCAACAGGGGTTAGGGGTCAGCATCAAGGTTACGGTCATCAGCGACCACTTTAAAGAACCACTCACCTTCACCTGCGATGGTAAGACACACACACACACACACACACACACACACACAATGCAGACCCTGCAGGTTCAACAGCACAGAGATCTCACCCCTATTCTCATACACACCCTCAGTGAATGTAATGTTTGCTTCCCTCAGTCCTGTCCAGACCACTGTGGTTGTCCAGGATCAGGGATAAGGGATCAGGGATCAGAAATAAGGGAAAGCCTGTTGTTGGAGTTCCCTTAATGTAATTACGCTGACCGGATCACAGCCAACCAACTGGCCTCTCAATTAAACATGACTGACTCTCATTCATCTGTCGGAGGGAGGGAGAGGGAAAGAGAGGAGGAATAGAGGGAGATTTAAGGAATGGGGGAGGAAAGGAATCATCACTATGTTCATGCCAAGAAAGTTTACTGTTTTTCTGCCTTGCTTTCTCTCTCTGTTTCTCTCTCCACCTCACCCTTTCTCCATTAGTGGGTGTAAGACTATGTGCTGTGGGTACAGTCAGGTCATGACTCATGATTGGGGCAGAGAGGTTGTTTGTTCTCACTCAGAGAGATCAAACTGGCCAAATAAACAGTCACTCTATTGCCTCATTCTTCGGTCTCTCTCAATTCAATTCAATAGACTTTATTAACATGGCAAGTTAAATTACTTACATTGTCAAAGTATACATATAACAACAATGGTGGGACCAACAGCAATAATAATAGTAGTAGTGGAAATGGGATTACCATTAACAGCAACTACAACAACAATATTAATGAGAATAACAATACATTAAAGCAATCTCTCTCGCTCTCTCTCTCTCAGGGTCGTCTACGGTAGACCTGTTGATCTACCAGACGTTGTGTTATGCTCATGAAGACCTCGACCACATCGATGTCGACCACTACCTCCTCAAAGTCTGCGGTCAGGCAGAGTTCCTACAGAAGTAAAGACAACCATCTATCTCTAAAGTTTTTATTTTCTTTCTTTCCTGTTAGTTGGGCCCAGAGGGTGGGACTGGGAGGTAGAGAGCACACACACACACATGCGATTACACAAACAGCAGTTCTGTAAGGCAGAGAAGTGACGAGAGCCTTGCCTTGGAAAAGCCTCTCTCATAGACCTTGGCTATACACTCCTAGACCGTGGCTATACACTCCTAGACCGTGGCTATACACTCCTAGACCTTGGCTGTACACTCCTCGACCGTGGCTATACACTCCTAGACCTTGGCTATACACTCCTAGACCGTGGCTATACACTCCTAGACCGTGGCTATACACTCCTAGACAGTGGCTATATACTCATAGACCTTGGCTGTACACTCCTCGACCGTGGCTATACACTCCTAGACCGTGGCTATACACTCCTAGACCGTGGCTATACACTCCTCGACCGTGGCTATACACTCCTCGACCGTGGCTATACACTCCTCGACCGTGGCTATACACTCCTAGACCGTGGCTATACACTCCTAGACCGTGGCTATACACTCCTCGACCGTTGCTATACACTCCTCGACCGTGGCTATACACTCCTAGACCGTGGCTATACACTCATAGACCTTGGCTGTACACTCCTCGACCGTGGCTATACACTCCTAGACCTTGGCTATACACTCCTAGACCGTTGCTATACACTCCTAGACCGTTGCTATACACTCCTAGACCGTGGCTATACACTCCTAGACCGTGGCTATACACTCATAGTCTCAGCCCTGTGTTTGTGTGTGTGTGTGTATGCATGCATGTCTCAACCTTACGTTTCAGTGAGTGTGTGTATGTTTGTATGCGAGAGGCCCAGGCTATTGGAGTGTGTGTGTTTTAGGCTTTATCATGACTGACATTGCAGTGAGTTGGAGGTAGACTGTGGGAGAGAGAGAGCTAGAGTGTGTGTGTGTCTTTGTGGTCCAGATATACACACTCATTTAACTGAAGGCCTCAATTGTGGTAGTTTTTAACAAGCTCTGCTGATGTCTGTGGGCCGACCTAAACCACCCCCCTTTTTCCACACTCACACACTCACGCACAGTAACAGTATGTCTGTGGGCCAGCTTAGCCACAGTGGGTTTCCCCTAAAACATGACCTTTCCCCCCGCACCACACACACCCTGACACACACCCTGACATGCACACACCCTCCTTCCCACTCCCCTATGAAGTCTTCTTTCAGAGGAAAACAGCCAGCCAGGGTTGAAATGTATTTTACAGCAAGCTTCATTCCGGTCCAGTGCAGCTGAACATATACAGTGGGGAGAACAAGTATTTGATACACTGCCGATTTTGCAGGTTTTCCTACTTACAAAGCATGTAGAGGTCTGTAATTTTTATCATGGGTACACTTCAACTGTGAGAGACGGAATCTAAAACAAAAATCCAGAAAATCACATTGTATGATTTTTAAGTAATTAATTTGCATTTTATTGCATGACATAAGTATTTGATACATCAGAAAAGCAGAACTTAATATTTGGTACAGAAACCTTTGTTTGCAATTACAGAGATCATACGTTTCCTGTAGGTCTTGACCAGGTTTGCACACACTGCAGCAGGGATTTTGGCCCACTCCTCCATACAAACCTTCTCCAGATCCTTCAGGTTTCGGGGCTGTCGCTGGGAAATACAGACTTTCAGCTCCCTCCAAAGATTTTCTATTGGGTTCAGGTCTGGAGACTGGCTAGGCCACTCCAGGACCTTGAGATGCTTCTTACGGAGCCACTCTTTACAAAAATCCAGAAAATCACATTGTATGATCTTTAAGTTATTGCATGACATAAGTATTTGATCACCTACCAACCAGTAAGAATTCCGGCTCTCACAGACCTGTTAGTTTTTCTTTAAGAAGCCCTCCTGTTCTCCACTCATTACCTGTATTAACTGCACCTGTTTGAACTCGTTACCTGTATAAAAGACACCTGTCCACATACTCAATCAAACAGACTCCAACCTCTCCACAATGGCCAAGACCAGAGAGCTGTGTAAGGACATCAGGGATAAAATTGTAGACCTGCACAAGGCTGGGATGGGCTACAGGACAATAGGCAAGCAGCTTGGTGAGAAGGCAACAACTGTTTGCGCAATTATTAGAAAGTTCAAGTTGACGGTCAATCACCCTCGGTCTGGGGCTCCATGCAAGATCTCACCTCGTGGGGCATCAATGATCATGAGGAAGGTGAGGGGTCAGCCCAGAACTACACGGCAGGACCTGGTCAATGACCTGAAGAGAGCTGGGACCACAGTCTCAAAGAAAACCATTAATAACACACTACGCCGTCATGGATTAAAATCCTGCAGCGCACGCAAGGTCCCCCTGCTCAAGGCAGCGCATGTCCAGGCCCGTCTGAAGTTTGCCAATGACCATCTGGATGATCCAGAGGAGGAATGGGAGAAGGTCGTGTGGTCTGATGAGACAAAAATATAGCTTTTTGGTCTAAACTCCACTCGCCGTGTTTGGAGGAAGAAGAAGGATGAGTACAACCCCAAGAACACCATCCCAACCGTGAAGCATGGAGGTGGAAACATCATTCTTTGGGGATGCTTTTCTGCAAAGGGGAGAGGACGACTGCACCGTATTGAGGGGAGGATGGATGGGGCCATGTATCGCGAGATCTTTGCCAACAACCTCCTTCTCCATGACAACGACCCGAAACACACAGCCAGGGCAACTAAGGAGTGGCTCCGTAAGAAGCATCTCAAGGTCCTGGAGTGGCCTAGCCAGTCTCCAGACCTGAACCCAATAGAAAACCTTTGGAGGGAGCTGAAAGTCTGTATTGCCCAGCGACAGCCCCGAAACCTGAAGGATCTGGAGAAGGTCTGTATGGAGGAGTGGGCCAAAATCCCTGCTGCAGTGTGTGCAAACCTGGTCAAGAACTACAGGAAACGTATGATCTCTGTAATTGCAAACAAAGGTTTCTGTACCAAATATTAAGTTCTGCTTTTCTGATGTATCAAATACTTATGTCATGCAATAAAATGCAAATGAATTATTAAAAAATCATACAATGTGATTTTCTGGATTTTTGTTTTAGATTCCGTCTCTCACAGTTGAAGTGTACCTATGATAAAAATTACAGACCTCTACATGCTTTGTAAGTAGGAAAACCTGCAAAATCGGCAGTGTATCAAATACTTGTTCTCCCCACTGTATGTGTGTGTTTGCACATGTTTTCTAGCTCAGTGCAGCTGCACATATACATGCAAGAGAGAGAGAGCGTGTGTGTCTGTCTTTCAGGTTGTTGTTTTTTTCAGGCCCAGAGCAGCTGTTTGTTTCCTTGTCTGTGTGTGTGTGTCTGTGTGTGTGTCTGTGTGTGTGCGCGCATGTGCGTTTCTGGCCTACAGCTGAGCAGCAGCAGGAAGTGTGTTTTCCCCTGATAACCTGCGGCTGTTAAAAGTGGGCGGGACTTTCTCTGTGTGCTGAGGTCATTGTTTGTTACCCAGCTGTCAATCACAGGGCTGGAATGTAGTAGGGCTTCAGCTCTCTCTCTTTTGTTTCCCCTCCCCTCTCACTCTCTTATTTATGGCTGGAGCAAAACAATCACCTCACAATGAACTCCCATGCCCATATTGTAGTGGGTTTTCCCCTGTGTGTGTATTCACGAAGTACAGCTGCATCACAGCATTGTGTCGGGACATGGCTTCTTCACTTGAATGGCATACTTGTCCAACAAATGTTTTTTTGTTTTGTTTTTTTATGAATAATGTGTTTGTTTTTTTGATGAATGTACTTTAATGCTTTGTTTATATATATATATATATATATATATATATATATATATATATATATATATATATATATATATATATATATATATTTGGACAACTTTTCTATAAAACTTTAAGTCTCTCTCTCTCTGTCTCTCTCTCTGTCTCTCTCTGTCTCTTTATTTCTGTATCTCGCTCTCTCTCTCTCTCTTTGTCAGTTCCCAGACGTTGGCTGGGTTGGAGTATATCCAGCTGTGTTTGAAGTTTGACTGGGACATTCGTCTCTTCCTTAGCAAGAGAGGCTCTGTCAACACAGATCTGGGCCGCACGGTGAGCACACACACACACACTACACCACACACGCATGCATGCAGTAGCACGCACGCAGTAGCCCACACACACACACACACACACACACACACACACACACACTCTTGTTTGATGATGTGGTTGTGTTGTGATTGACAGGAGGAAGATGATGAGATGGCCTCTACGATGAACCACAGCATCCTGCTGCAGGAGCGACCAATCAAACAGACAGTTACTAGGTGAGGGGGAGGGGCCTAGAGCTCTCGCACCACTGATTACATTAGAGATGCAACCTTCATCAAGGTGATTTGTAATCTGATTGGATAACTTAGATGATTGGAAGTAAAATAAATGTGATGTGTCTACCAACTGGGACGGATTAGTTAAATCTTCTTGGAATATGTTAAAACTTATTTAAAAAGCAATAGAAGGCCTTCGGCTGAGACTTTGATATCTTTAACAGTGTTGTTGATATTTCCTTGTTTGAACAGGGAGGCTTTGACTCTGCTCCTGGACACCTTTCAGAACGAGGCTGAGTCCTTCCTGCTATCAGAGGTAACCTTCTACACACACGCCCATACACACACACAAGAAGGAACACAAACATGTTTGGCTTTTTTTATTCTTAAAATTGATGTGTAAGATAGAGAATTCAATGTTCTCTCCCTCCCGCCCTCTGTAGGTGGAGCTTGTGTTGCACGTGGAAAGGCTCGTCCAATCATTGAAGGCTCTATGCAGCTCGCTGGCTGCCGTGGAAACGCCTGACATCACTTCCGCCCTCAACCAGCTTCCAGCATGCCCCTGTCGTCTGCAGCCCAGAGTCCAGAAGGTAAACACACACACTCACAATCACACACACATCTGCCACGCTTCAGATACACAGATCTAGGATCAGTTTACCCTCCCTCAATCATAGCCTTAAACATTATGATCTTAGATCAGTACCCAAGGATAACTTCATTCATTACTGTACTCCTGTAACTCCAGAACCAACGGTTGGTTGAATGCATTCTGTAACTGTGTATGTGTGTGTCTCTTCACAGGATTCATCAGTGCTGGCCATCAGAGAGAACAGAGGTAAGTTCCTCACTACTTTAATGTCCTACAACAACACAGAATAATCCACACAGAGATACTGGGTGGTAGGGGATGACAGACAGAAGACGGGATATGAGAAAGAGGACAGACAGAGGGGAAGGGAGAAAGAGGACAGACAGAGGAGAAGGGAGAAAGGTGAACTGAGGATAGAAAAAGAGGAGTGATGAGATACTGTAGATGGAAGAGAGGAGCGAGGGAGGAAGAGGACAGATGGAGAGGAGGGTCACTGGGTTATGGGGTCAAGGTCAGGTCTGTACAGTAGTGTAACGGAATTAAGATCGTACCGTAAGCTCCACAGCCGAGTTGCTAGCTTTTCGGCGGCACAACTGGCTAGTACGTTGTCAAGAGGACGGTCATGTATTTTTGCGAGGCAGAGGAACCTGGGTTGAGCCATTGTACACACCGTGTACCCAGATAGGGAGGAAGCTATACTGCTAAGCAGGCACACTGGTCCATCACAGTAGCACTATCTCATGTCAGAGCGGAAGTGTCCTTGACTTGTTGTGACGCACATCCGTGACATCCTTCTCGGCGGTTGTCCCTAATCTCTACCTCCCCCTGTCACACTCAGCCATCCTTCCTGTTTGTTTAACTTCGTACAGGATACACCAAGCACCTCCTACATCCATCCACCGCCCTCTATCTGTCCGTCCGCCCTAGAAAAGAGAGGGATAACATTTCAGAGAGGTGGGATGTTGTTTTCTGTGTAGGGCTGAGCTGCTGCTCCACTGGATGTATAAAGAGACACAATGTAAACAGTGGAGCCCAGTCAGCTGAGCTGTGTTGACATAGAGCAGCCATGTTCTGTTTCCCAAATGGCACCCCTAAGAGCCTTGGTCAAAAGTAGTGCACTATATAGGTAAGAGGGTGCCATTTGTGATGTAGCCATGGAATGATGACAATAACTGATGTTTGACATTCCTCTGGTAGTGTAGAAACACAAGGTGATGAACAGGTGAAAACACACACTGTACAATAGAGCAGTGTTTCCCAACCCTGGTCCTGGAGGACCCCCAACAGGACAAGCACACCTGATTCAACTTGTCAACTAATCATCAAGCCCTCAATGAGTTGCATGAGGTGTGTTTGTCAAGGGCTACAATGAAACTGTATACTGTTGGGGGTACTCGAGGGCCAGGTCGTAGGGTCGGTGATGTGAATCTAAATGGTTTCTGAAAATGTTGCAGAGAAAGTGGTGGAGAAGCTGACAGCGGCCATTTTGGATCTGGTGGAGCTGTACTGCAGCACGTTCAACGCTAACTTCCACACCACGGTGCAGAGCAACCGGCACACGGCGCCCACACAGGAAGCAGGCCTGGTCACCAACGTCCTATCCTTCAGCGTCTACGCTGCTCACCGCATCCCCATCATATGGGCTGCCAGGTAACACACACACACGGGCAGCTGTTCAGGCTGGATTTCCCCAGTATAATCCATGAGGATGACATTGTGTTATGAAGCATAGCAGCATACCTTCTCCCTCTCTCCTCCTCCCTCCCCTTCTCCCTCTACTTCTCTCTTTCCTTCACTCTCCCGCCCATTTTCACTTCCCTTACTTTTCCCATCCTCTCTTCCCTCTTCTACCCTGTTTTTCCCCTCCCTGTCCCCATCCCATCCCTCCCTCTATATTGACCTGAGTGTATTCAGTTCAGGCCAAACCCTCCCCCTGAATCTCCATTCATCTGTCTTCTCTAAGCAACTGCCCTCTCCTCAACTCTCCTCTGGCACTGCCATCCCACCATTCCCATACATTCTATACACAAGTCCTTACCCTGCCCATTCCCCCACACTCACCCTACAGCCCTATTGCCCTTACCACTGTCTCTGTGGCTACACTTTCCCCTGTACTCTCCCTATCCCCACTGCTGTGTATGGCCCTGCTTCACTCCCCCACCCCCTTCCAGCCACGTGAATGGTCCGCTCTGCTCCACCCCCATCCCCTCTCCAGACCCCAGTTGGCTGGCCCCTTTGTCTCCCCCTGAAACTGATGCTGGCATGTGATTGGTTCCTGACAAAGGGTGATTGACAGCTTGGGAACCCTGCCTAACCTTTGACCCGAAGGGGCGGGGCAGAGTGCTGGCTGGTCGCTAGGCACCTGTCCGGCGGTGTCACATGCCATCTTTGTGTGTGAAGTTGTGTCTTTGTGTGCAGGAAGACTGATCAATTGATACCAAAATAACAGCTAATCTCCCACACAATAGATATCCTCTGTATTGATAAGGTTTTCAGATAGGGATTTAGGTAGCAATTAGGAATGTGCATATTTCCCTTTCAAGACGATACGATATGTATCAAGATACATGGGCTCCGATACGAGAAAACAGCGCCGGAGAAGATGGCTGCTGTTTTACAGCCCTCTAACCAATTGTACTATTATGTGTGTTTTTCCGCGTTATTTGTAATTTATTTTGTACATAATGTTTCTGCCATCGTCTCTTATAACCAAAAAGAGCTTCTGGATATTAGGACAGCGATGACTCACCGCATATTGGACGAAGATTTTTTCTTCAACAAGGCGGCCGCGAAGGATATCCTACAGACACCCGACAAGGCCCAAATTCGCGTGAGGAAGAGACGGAGATATCGTGGACGTAGGGCGGTGTGCCTTCTATCCTGCCTACATCGGCAGGATAGAACGGCTGACTCCGGTAAGACAAGGGGTGGCGGTGTATATTTGTAAACAACAGCTGGTGCACAAAATCAAATACTAAGGAAATCTCAAGGTTTTGCTCGCCTGAGGTAGAGTATCTTATGATAAGCTGTAGACCACACTATTTACCAAGAGAGTTTTCATCTATATTTTTCATAGCTGTCTATTTACCACCACAAACCAATGCTGGCATTAAGATTGCATTGAATGAGCTGTATAAGGCCATAAATCAGCAGGAAAACGCTCATCCAGATGCAGCGCTCCTAGTGGCCGGGGAGTTTAATGCAGGGAAACTTAAATCCGTTCTACCTAATTTCTACCAGCATGTTAAATGTGCAACCAGAGGAAAAAAAACTCTAGACCACCTTTACTCCACACACAGAGACGCATACAAAGCTCTCCCTCGCCCTCCATTTGGCAAATCTGACCATAACTCTATCCTCCTGATTCCTGCTTATAAGCAAAAACTAAAGCAGGAAGCACCAGTGACTCGGTTAATAAAAAAGTGGTCAGATGACACAGATGCTAAGCTACAGGACTGTTTTGCTAGCACAGACTGGAACATGTTCCGGGATTCTTCAGATAGCATTGAGGAGTACACCACATCAGTCACTGGCTTCATCAATAAGTGCATCGATGATGTCGTCCCCACAGTGACCGTACGTACATACCCCAACCAGAAGCCATGGATTACAGGAAACATCCGCACTGAGCTAAAAGGTAGAGCTGCCGCTTTCAAGGAGCGGGACTCTAACCCGGACGCTTATAAGAAATCCCGCTATGCCCTCCGACGAACCATCAAACAGGCAAAGAGTCAATACAGGACTAAGATTGAATCGTACTACACTGGCTCTGACGCTCGTCGGATGTGGCAGGGCTTGAAAACTATTACAGACTACAAAGGGAAGCACAGCCGCGAGCTGCCCAGTGACACAAGACTTCCAGACGAGCTAAACCACTTCTATGCTCGCTTCGAGGCAAGCAACACTGAAGCATGCATGAGAGCACCAGCTGTTCCGGATGACTATGTGATCACGCTCTCTGTAGCCGATGTGAGTAAGACTTTTAAGCAGGTCAACATTCACAAGGCCGCAGGGCCAGACGGATTACCAGGACGTGTACTCCGAGCATGTGCTGACCAACTGGCAAGTGTCTTCACTGACATTTTCAACATGTCCCTGACTGAGTCTGTAATACCAACATGTTTCAAGCAGACCACCATAGTCCTCGTGCCCAAGGACTCTAAGATAACCTGCCTAAATGACTACCGACCCATAGCACTGACGTCTGTAGCCATGAAGTGCTTCGAAAGGCTGGTCATGGCTCACATCAACATCATTATCCCAGAAACCCTAGACCCACTCCAATTTGCATACCACCCCAACAGATCCACAGACGATGCAATCTCTATTGCACTCCACACTGCCCTTTCCCACCTGGACAAGAGGAACACCTACGTGAGAATGCTATTCATTGACTACAGCTCAGCATTCAACACCATAGTGCCCTCAAAGCTCATCACTAAGCTAAGGATCCTGGGACTAAACACCTCCCTCTGCAACTGGATCCTGGACTTCCTGACAGGCCGCCCCCAAGTGGTAAGGGTAGGTAACAACACATCTGCCACACTGATCCTCAACACAGGGGCCCCTCAGGGGTGCGTGCTCAGTCCCTTTCTGTACTCCCTGTTCACCCATGACTGCATGTCCAGGCACGACTCCAACACCATCATTAAGTTTGCCGACGACACAACAGTGGTAGGCATGATCACCGACAACGATGAGACAGCCTATAGGGAGGAGGTCAGAGACCTGGCCGTGTGGTGCCAGGACAACAACCTCTCCCTCAACGTGACCAAGACAAAGGAGATGATTGTGGACTACAGGAAAAAAAAGAGGACTGAGCACGCCCCCATTCTCATCGACGGGGCTGTAGTGGAACAGGTTGAGAGCTTCAATTTCCTTGGTGTCCACATCACCAACGAACTATCATGGTCCAAACACACCAAGACAGTCGTGAAGAGGGCACGACAAAGCCTATTCCCCCTCAGGAGACTGAAAAGATTTGGCATGGGTCCTCAGATCCTCAAAAAATTCTACAGCTGCACCATCGAGAGCATCCTGACTGGTTGCATCACCGCCTGGTATGGCAACTGCTTGGCCTCCGACCGCAAGGCACTACAGAGGGTAGTGCATACGGCCCAGTACATCACTGGGGCCAAGCTTCCTGCCATCCAGGACCTCTATACCAGGCGGTGTCAGAGGAAAGCCCTCAAAATTGTCAAAGACTCCAGCCACCCTAGTCATAGACTGTTCTCTCTGCTACCGCACGGCAAGCGGTACCGGAGTGCCAAGTCTAGGTCCAAAAGACTTCTCAACAGCTTCTACCCCCAAGCCATAAGACTCCTGAACAGCTAATCATGGCTACCCAGACTATTTGCACTGCCCCCCCACCCCATCCTTTTACGCTGCTGCTACTCTGTTAATTATTTATGCATAGTCACTTTAACTCTGCCCACATGTACATATTACTTCAACTACCTCAACTAGCCGGTGCCCCCGCACATTGACTCTGCACCGGCACCCCCCTGTATATATAGCCTCCCTACTGTTATTTTATTTTACTTCTGCTCTTTTTTTCTCAACACTTTTTTTGTTGTTGTTTAATTTTTACTTTTTTGTTAAAAATAAATGCACTGTTGGTTAAGGGCTGTAAGTAAGCATTTCACTGTAATGTCTGCACCTGTTGTATTCGGCGCATGTGGCCAATAAAATGTGATTTGATTTGATACAGAAACTGTATGTTTTAGTTTGAATCGATTCGGTTTGATTACAGAACGAATCAATGCAATGTGGTTCGATTCGATGCACTAACGTTTGTTGCATAAACACATTCATTTTACACAAGTCCTTACCCTACCCATTCCCCCACACTCACAGGCTATAGCCAGATCAGAGTTGTGTCTCCAGTAGCTTAACTTTTATTTCGGTAAAACAAAATTTTCAACAGCGCAGAGATAACAATAACCTAATAAGCCTAATATCACGCAAGCCATTTTTGCATTTGAATGCTGAAGGTGCCGCGCAGATGTGCAAGATCAGGAACAGGCCGCCTACCTTGTGTTGGTCAGTGCGCAAAGCTGTGCACAGTGCGCAGTTTGACTAGGCTACTGATACTCCTAGGGTTGTTCGGCATGCCAATGCTTAGTTCGACACTGAAGGAGAGGACGCGTCAGTTGTCACAAACTGAGGTGTTTTCGGAAGGTAGAAAGAAAGTAATATGAGCAACATTTTCATCGGTTTGGGGTCCGATGAAGTCCTATCTTAAACATTTGAAACGGGGACTGATGGGTATCGGGGAATCGTTACATCCCTAGTAGCAATAGCACTCTACTTTACTGTAAGACAAATTACATGGTAACGTTGTTACCCAATGTTATTACCCTTTTAATTACTATTCAGTCTGTTGGGGATTAATATAAATAAAATAATTTGTGAATACTTCTAATTTGAATCACTGTTTCTCTGGGTAACGTTTAGAGTTTTCCCTGCCTGCCCCAGTGCCTGACTGGGCTGCTATTCCTTTTTAGTGCAGTATTTTCATTCTTCCTTTTATACCTCCTCTCTAGGGACCAGCCTCCTCTTATTCCCTCTTTATAAAGACCCCGGCCCAGGCTCCAGTACCAATTTAATAATGTAGGACTGGGTTACAGATTAGGAGAGAGAGGGGGAGAGGATGGGAGCGAAAGAGGGAGAGCAACAGGTTGGGTGTGTGTGTGTGAGAGGGAGAGAGTGATACTTAATCACAGTGAGTGAGAAAGAGTGAGAGATTGAGAGGGGTAGAGAGAGATGTATTTACTCGGCTTTCTTTCCTGTAATGTTAGCTAGCTTGACCCACATTCCGACACGAGAACAATTTTTATGCATACTCTAACAATTGCATTTCAATCAATCACATTTATATTTGAAGCCCTTTTTACATCAGCAGTTGCCACAACGTGCTTATATAGAAACCCAGCCAAAAACTCCAGAGAGCAACCAATGCATGGTGGCTAGGAAAAAGATTAGATTTAACAAGTAACATCTCTAAATGATCATAGCTTTTATCTGGATTCACCTTGTCATGGAATTCGCTGATCTCCTCTCCTCTGTTATCCCATTGGCTGATCTCCTCTCCTCTGTTATCCCATTGGCTGATTTCCTCTTCCTCTTCCTGTCAGCTACGAGGGCTTCTTCCTGTCGTGCTCTCTGACCCATGGAGGGGCGGAGCTTTGTGCCCCCCAGCACACCAGCAAACAGCAGGTCAGCAAGTACCTGTTTCACCTGGTAGTCTGGGACCAGAGGTATGTACCCAATCACAACAGACCTTAGACACCTCAACCAACCTCACAGAGATGTTCACCAATCAGAGTCTATGTATCCTAATATTACTTGATGCTTATCATTTAAAAGTAATATAGGTATTTGCTATCCAAACAACCACTTCTAATAACATGTACTCATAACATACACAACGTACACGTAGGCTTCCTAAAGCATGTTAGTGTTCAATCCATCCCACTCTAGTACCAGGTGTTCTGTTTGTCCACCTACTTTCCCCTATATGTGTGTAATGGAAAGAGCTGTTAGTTGTGCGTGTGGGTGTGTTTACAGTGAGGGAAAGAAGTATTTGATCCCCTGCTGATTTTGTACGTTTGCCCACTGACAAAGACATGATCAGTCTATAATTTTAATGGTAGGTTTATTAGAACAGTGAGTGACAGAATAACAACAACAAAATCCAGAAAAACGCATGTAAAAAATGTTATAAATTGATTTGGGGGTGTTTTTCTGCTAAGGGGACAGGACAACTTCACCGCATCAAAGGGACGATGGACGGGGCCATGTACCGTCAAATCTTGGGTGAGAACCTCCTTCCCTCAGCCAAGGCATTGAAAATGGGTCGTGGATGGGTATTCCAGCATGACAATGACCCCAAACACACGGCCAAGGCAACAAAGGAGTGGCTCAAGAAGAAGCACATTAAGGTCCTGGAGTGGCCTAGCCAGTCTCCAGACCTTAATCCCATAGAAAATCTGTGGAGGGAGCTGAAGGTTCGAGTTGCCAAACGTCAGGCTCGAAACCTTAATGACTTGGAGAAGATCTGCAAAGAAGAGTGGGACAAAATCCCTCCTGAGATGTGTGCAAACCTGGTGGCCAACTACAAGAAACGTCTGACCTCTGTGATTGCCAACAAGGGTTTTGCCACCAAGTACTAAGTCATGTTTTGCAGAGGGGTCAAATACTTATTTCCCTCATTAAAATGCAAATCAATTGATAACATTTTTGACATGTGTTTTTCTGGATTTTCTTGTTGTTATTCTGTTTCTCACTGTTCAAATAAACCTACCAATAAAATTGTAGACTGATCATGTCTTTGTCAGTGGGCAAACGTACAAAATCAGCAGGGGATCAAATACTTTTTTCCCTCACTGTATGTGTGAGTGCACATGTGTGTACTTATTGAAGCAGATGGAAAGTGTTTACAGTGGGTTGTAACTAGTCTCCTTGGCTACGTATGCAGCATCCAGTATCGATTTTCTGATCTCTGTACCTCCTGTCCTTGATGCGTTGTCCCTGGGGTTATTTTAAAGACACTATTGTTGCAATAATATTTTTGCCTCTATTGTAATAATATTTGTAGTCCTCCGGTATCTGGGTGGATTTATAAAGCGTTGTAGAGAAACATGTTTTTATCAACCCTTGTAGGCATAATGGTTCCTTCAGATGTGACAGCAGTGCAAAACCTTGACCCTAAAACACCACTTCCCGAGAAGACTGCATTGACAGTGTCCAGCTTGTTGGAGCTTCTTGAGATGGCATAAACACAAATAGACCTGGCACAAATACCAAATAGGACATGTTTCATTCTGGCTGGAGTACTTTGGAGTTTGGACAGGGAGTGTAGCGGGCTACAGCCTTGTAAGGTAGCCTTCCTCAAACTGCTCTTGGTTTGTTGGTCGTGTAAGTCTTGAAAGTAAATTGTTTGTCTTTTTGGCTGGACGACTCATCTTAATGTCCTACTCCAGTCTCCTTTTCACCTCATTTATCACCTGATTTACTTAACAAAAGGCACATCTCAGTAGGTGGTCCAGGTGTCCTCATGACATGGCACAAGTGGGGGGGGTGAGCCTTTCCTCTTTTGTTCTCTATTGCTCCTCAAGCATCTATTACGGGATTCCCGTTCTTAGTGTACAACATGGCCCCGTAACTGAACATGTTGTCTTAGTTAGCGAAACATGCTAGCAGATCCACCAGTGGGGTTTAGCTCAGAACCAATGGTGTGTGTTCATCACACGACTATTTTTAGTTAGCTCAATGCTAGCTCCTTTCATGCTAACAAGTCTTTGAAGTTTTAGGATTCCAACAGAGTTCTTAATGTGTTCTTCTCTTTCATGTAGGAGATATGTTGAAAGCACACAGGTCCCATGTGGATGACAGAGGGCTAAATATAATGGAGGGCCCGTTTACTAGCCCTATAACGTTACTCTGCTGTTCACTAACAGTTACAGTGAGGGATCGTTTACTAGCTCTATAACATTACTCTGCTGTTCACTAATAGTTACAGTGAGGGATCGTTTACTAGCTCTATAACATTACTCTGCTGTTCACTAATAGTTACAGTGAGGGATCGTTTACTAGCTCTATAACATTACTCTGCTGTTCACTAATAGTTACAGTGAGGGATCGTTTACTAGCTCTATAACATTACTCTGCTGTTCACTAATAGTTACAGTGAGGGATCGTTTACTAGCTCTATAACATTACTCTGCTGTTCACTAATAGTTACAGTGAGGGATTGTTTACTAGCTCTATAACGTTACTCTGCTGTTCAGTTACAGTGCCACTCCCAGACAACTCTCTTCTAGGGAAATTAGTATTTACTTTATATTATAGCTACTGCATTTCACAAGGATTCAACTACAACTGAATCGATCTCTCCCGCTCTCTCAACCCCCCACTCTCTTTCCTTCTCTATTCCTCTCTTCCCCTTCAATCCTTCTCTATATCCTCCTCCTCTCTCATTGCATTTCTCTCTTTTCTCCCTCCCTCCCTCTCCCCCCCAGGGTGTGTTTCCCAGTGCAGATCAACCAGTTGCCAAGGGAGACCCAGATGCAAGTGACTCTGTATGCCAGTGCTCTGCCACCACCTGGAGGAGCGGAAGAGAAGGGTAGTAAGCAGCGCCGCAGCATCGAATCCCTGGGCTGGGTCACCATGCCCCTCTTCAACTTCAGACAGTGAGTAGTGGTCCACAGGAGGGTGGGTGGGTGTGTGAGTCAGTCTGAGATTATGACCGTCACCCTCTCCCCCAGCATCCTGACGTGTGGGAGGAAGCTACTGGGTCTGTGGCCTTCCACCCCAGGAAGTAACGCTCACTCCAGCTCCCCCAACTTCAGCCAGCCTGACAGCGTCATCCTGCAGGTAACTGACCTAGTCACACACACACACACACACACACACACTTTTTCTCCTCCTCTTCCTTCCTCTCTTTCTCTTATGTCACTCAATTTCTTTTTCAAGGTGTAGTTCCCTATTACCTATTGTCCTCCTTTTTCACTCCCTCTCTTTTTCCCTCCTTTACAGCTTTCCTTTCCTCTCCGCCCTCCCTCTTCCTCACTCTCTCCCCCCTCTTTCCTCTCCGCCCTCCCTCTTCCTCACTCTCTCCCCCCTCTTTCCTCTCCGCCCTCCCTCTTCCTCACTCTCTCCCCCCTCTTTCCTCTCCGCCCTCCCTCTTCCTCACTCTCTCCCCCCTCTTTCCTCTCCAGACTGGCCTGTTTCAATAAAACATATACTGTTGCTCCTGGTCAAAAGAACAGCCTCGAAAAGGCTTACACACACACTACAGGTACAGTAGGTTTTCTGCCTGAGTGTGTAACATGAAAGTTTGATGTCTTTTGGCCCGTTTTAGAGCTGTGGCGCAGATATGGGGTTTGGAGTTCTAAAGTGCTCTATCTGTCTCTACCGGCTCAATGACCAGAATATTCCCCACACATGTTAAAGCATAGGCAGAGGGACTCACACGCACATTGGTAGTCATGCATGTAGTGCTCACACACACACACACACACACACACTACAACTGCTGCCTGCAGAAGGGACCTGAAAGTAGGTCAGATGGATCTTTTCTGGCCAAAGAACATACCTGGGATGTTAGACTGCCCTGCTGTATACCTTCTGACACACACATCCTCCTTGCCCTCACTCTCACTCTCACATTCTCTTACACTCACTTCTCTCGCTCGCTCGCTCACTCACACACGCACACGCAGTGTTTCTTCTCAGCAGTATTGTAGTGTAAACCCATTCCCTCCTGCAGTGCCAGCCCAGTGTGTGGCAGTGCCAACTGGCCCGTGGCGCTGTTTCCCAGTGGCTCTTTGTCTCAGTGCAGTGCCCTGCGTTAAAATGGGATCTCTGTGTGTGCTCTATTGCAATCAGTCTCCTTATTAACGTGGGGACATCATTTGAGGCTTCATACATCATCACTGATGGCAGAACATATGCTTACACACACACACACACTCCCCCCACATCGTATAAGAAACATCTGGGGCCTGCCATACATCTGTCACTCATTAACCCGAATGTAACCCCCTCACACACACACACACATTTCAATGCCAAAACAAATTTACTGGATGATACATAAGAATTGATTCTCTATCTGACCTAATTTTGGTTACATTCCTCTCCGTCTGTCTTCTTCCTAAAAGCTTTCCCTCAGTGGCCTGCCATGACTTTACATTTCTTATCTCTTGGCTTTTCATGTTTGTTTTTTCCTCCTACTTTCCTTGTTAATTCCTCACTTCATTCTGTTCCTCTCCTCTCACCCAATCCCACCTTCCATTTCTCCATACATCCGTTACCTTGTCCATCTGCTCTGTAACAGTCAGTATTTTTACTCTCCATACTCAATGAGTGTGTATTACGTGTATGTATATCTGTGAGAGTAACAATGATATAAATCAAACCATATCGTTATTGAAGTATATTTCCCTCATCACAACACGTCATCTTGGTGTTGTTGTTAGTGTGATCTCTGACCTCTAACCTCTGGCCTCTTTCTCTAGGTGGACTTCCCCACGTCGTCGTTTGAGGTACTCTTCAGTACCCCCCCTCCTGCAGAGTTCAGTCCCCAGTATGACTTCTCCAGACTGGACCAGCACAGCCAGAGACAACTACAGGACGTTCTGCACAAGAAGTCACTCTTCTGGTGAGACTATTATTCTGTCTGGCGGTCCGTCTAGCCGTCTGTGTCTGTCTGGCTGTCTGGCTGGCTGGCTGTCTGGCTGGCCGTCTGTCCGTCAGTCTCACTCTTTCTCTATCACGCTACCTTTCTACTCCCTCTCCATGGGATGACAGAACAGCCCTGTCAGACTAACATACATTCATTCATTCACTACATCATTATAACGTCGCTGTTACACTGCATTAGAGTAGTGAGAGTTGTTATGTACTGTATATGCCTGTGCTAGTGTGCAAACCCAGCAGTGTAGCGTTCAGCTGTATAAGTTATTAAAGAGTGTTAATGGGTTCGTAGTGGAGAGAACAGGAAGAGAGACAGGAGATATAAGGGCAGTGTGGTGCTCTGGGGATGGTATTGGGAGGGGTGGAGAGGAGAGGGGGATTGGTGAAAGAGAGGAGTGGGTTTTAGTTGATGATGTCATAGCAGCAGCTGGTGGCGAATCCGCCCCAGATTATATTATACCCCCATCCTCTATCATCTCCCCATCCCCCTCTCCTCTCCTCTTTTGTCCCCTGTATGTGTGTGTGTGGTGTATGGTGTGTGTGTGTGTGTGTGTGTGTGTGTGTGTGTGTTGAGCTATTGTGTGGGTGGGTGTTTTTGGTTTTACTATCCTTGTGGGTACCAGAAGTCCTCACAAGGATAGTAAAACAAGGAAAATCCAGACAAGTGGGGACATTTCGCCAGTCCCCACAAAGAAAAAGGCTATTTTAGGGTTACAATTAGAGTTAGGAGTTAAGTTTAAGTTAGGGGTTTGGGGTTAAGGTTAGGGTTACTGTGTGGGTTTAGGGTTAGGAGTTAGGAAATAGGATTTTGAATGGGAATCAATTGTTTGGTCCCCATAGTGTAGTGTTTAGTCCATTAGTCGTTGTCATAGTTTATGATCTTTCTCGTGTATTGTGAGAGAGAAACACAGTTCTGTTTATATCTTGGACCAGAGTGTGTTTTGATGTTTACTTCCAAGCAGGATTCTGTAAATGAGGCTTTGGAGCATGCCTTTGAAAGCTAGAAGGAAGGGGAATGTGCTGTGTGTGTTTTTTAATGTTTGTTCAATGTATACTTTGAGCCTTTCCCCCACTCTCTTGACCTGTAAATAACCAGGAATGTCTCAATGTCAACCTATGAGGCTTTTGACTAGAATGTGCACGAGGGCTGGGCGATATGGCCAAAATATAATATCACGGTATTTTTTAAATTTATGATGGTATTTAATGTTTTTGAATAATAAAAGTTCAACATTTGCTTTATGAGTGGTGCGTGACCCTAGGGTGGCAACACATAAATATTAAGTGATGTTGATGGGTCTTTCTCCATTCTGATTGTTTTATACTGTTCAATTAAACTTCAACCAACATTTTCTGCATTTTCATCAATATCTGCATTTCCTGCACTAATTTAAGATCATATCCACACTGCCACATAGGGCTGCGCGATATGGGCAAAAAGTCTAGGACTTATTATTTTACCAAATGTTGCAGTTTAGCCACAACTTGCTTAGAAAAGACAAACTAACTGTTTGCAGATGTAAGAAACACAAACTAATAGTGTAATTATAGAACGCTTGTGGATTTACATTAATAAGAAGCAAAGTGGAAACAGCATCGTTGTCATCAATATTGCTGCATTGACCATGCAGACTGAACGCAAGTGTCTCGTGGTCAATCAACAACAAATGCGCTCCTTGAGTGACAGGGGGCGGGACTAGGGCTGTGTGGAAAGCATCATTTAGAGCAGGGGTGTCAAACGTCCGGCCCGCGGGCCGGATCAGGCCCGCAAACGGGTTTAATCCGGCCCGCGAGATGATTAAAAAAAAATAATAATAATAATAATAAAAATTTATAATAATTTTGTAAAGTAAAAAAATGCGCTGCAATTTTTCAAGAAAATAAACTGCTGTTCCAATTGCGTCCACTGGATGGCGCAATAGCAATTGTGTTAAGCAAGCAAACTGTTTATACCGGGGCAGAGCAAGTAGGTCAAGCAAAGCACTTTGTTTTGCCCGCGATATTTATTACGGCTTCTACTTTTAACATTATGTGCTTTGGCACCCTCATTGCCCCAATATGTCTCTGTCAAAAAAGAGAAAAGTGGACGCAGAGTGTTCCAAGAAAAATGGTCATCCTATTTATGCTGAAAGAATATTACCTTCGTCGCCACTATGTGAGTCTTCATGCCGACAAATATGACAACTTTCAAGGACAGCGGAGATGAGAGAAGGTGAATGTACTGTTGGCGGGTCTGAAGAAACAGCAGTCTGTGTTTACTCACAGCCGAGACATCAGTGAAAGCAGTGAAAGCTAGCTACCTCATTGCTAATGAAATCGCAGTGGCTTCAAAACCATTTAGTGAGGGTGAATTTGTAAAAACATGCATGATGAAGGCAGCGGAGATTGTGTGCCCTGAAAAGCGGCAGGCTTTTGCAAATATCAGCCTGACAAGAAACACAGTGGCAGACAGGATTTCCGATCTTTCAGTGGATTTGGACAGCCAGTTGAAGCAAAAAGTAAAGTCATTTATTGCGTTTTCGGTTGCAATTGATGAAAGCACGGACATTACAGATGTTGCACAACTGGCCATTTTCATCCGCGGAGTTGATGACACATTGACCGTCACCGAGGAGTTCGTGGAGTTGGTGCCGATGACAGATACAACGACAGCAGCTGATATTTTTACCGCACTCGTCGGCGCGCTGGACAGGGTCGGAGTGGACTGGTCCCGCGCTGTCAGCCTGGCTACAGATGGTGCGCCCTCAATGATCGGGAAAAAAGCAGGCGTTGTGACAAAGTTCAGAGAGAAAGTGCAATCTGCAAATGGAGGACGTGATTTTTTGACTTTTCACTGTATTTTGCACCAGGAGGCTTTGTGTTGCAAGTCATTAAAGATGGATAACGTCATGAAGGTGGTCATCCAAACTGTTAATTTCATCCGATCCAGAAGCCTGAATCACCGTCAGTTTGACAGCCTTCTCAGAGAGAAAGACCACATCTATGGCCTGCCATACCACACTGAGGTAAGATGGTTAAGCCGAGGTGCTGTGCTGAGGCGTTTCTTTGATTTACGAGAAGAAATTGAACAGTTCATGGAAGAAAAGGGCAAACCAGTGTTAGAATTTCATTCCGCAGAATGGATGCAGGACCTTGCATTTATGGTGGATGTTACAGAGCACCTGAATAACTTGAACAAACAGCTGCAAGGGCGCAACAAAGTTGTCACGCAGTATTATGACAGCATACGTTCTTTCAAGTTGAAGCTGTCATTGTGGGAGACGCAACTTGCCGGTGGTGATGCAGCTCACTTCCCCTGTCTGAAAAATGTGTGCGCGACCCAACATGTGGCAGACATGAAGCGGTTCAAAGATAAAATAACGGGACTGTTACGGGAGTTTGAGCAACGCTTTCAGATTTATGTTTATATGTTTTTATGTTGATGTGCTATTGTTTTTAATTGATTTTATTTTATTTGTATATTTAACCTATTCTTGACTCTGTGGTTCTTGCACTTGTTTGGGGAACAGTATTTCATTATTTTATCTACATTTCTGCCTGAGAAATGACACCCTGATATAGTTCTGTGATCTGTGATATACTTCTGTGAATCACTGAGGCATTGTGTGTTTGTGTGTTCTTTGTCCTCAGAACTTTCAAATAACTTGAGGTGTTTTATGATTAATAGTGATGTTGTGCTTTTGGACACTGTCCTCAGGCTCCAGCTTTATGTTTATATGTTTTTATGTTGATGTGCTATTGTTTTTAATTTATTTTATTTGTATATTTAACCTATTCTTGACTCTGTGGTTCTTGCACTTGTTTGGGGAACAGGATTTCATTATTTTTATCTACATTTCTGCCTGAGAAATGACACCCTGATATAGTTCTGTGATCTGTGATATACTTCTGTGAATCACTGAGGCATTGTGTGTTTGTGTGTTCTTTGTCCTCAGAACTTTCAAATAACTTGAGGTGTTTTATGATTAATAGTGATGTTGTGCTTTTGGACACTGTCCTCAGGCTCCAGCTTTATGTTTATATGTTTTTATGTTGATGTGCTATTGTTTTTAATTGATTTTATTTTATTTGTATATTTAACCTATTCTTGACTCTGTGGTTCTTGCACTTGTTTGGGGAACAGGATTTCATTATTTTTATCTACATTTCTGCCTGAGAAATGACACCCTGATATAGTTCTGTGATCTGTGAAACAGTTCTGTTAATCACTGAGGCATTGTGTGTTTGTGTGTTCTTTTTCTTTAGAATTTTCAAATAAACTTGACGTGTTTTATGATTAATAGTGATGTTGTGCTTGTACTATTCTGGACACACTGTCCTCAGGCTCCAGCTTTATGTTGTATGTTGATCGTATTAAAACAAAGAAAACAATCTGAAGTTGTTGTTTTTAAGTTATATATACCATGATTTTTCCGGTCCGGCCCACTTGGGAATAGATTTTCCTCCATGTATCACATTTAACGGCGTATCACATTTAACAAATGAAACATTCAAATACCGTTATAGAAGGCAAAGTAAAAACCCAAACTGGTCTGTGCATCAATACCGGTATAGAGTAAAATATGGTATATCGCCCAGCCCTAATGTGCACACATTCAAATCTTCAACAAATGATGATTAATGGTCAGGATCAATTTAATATTACATGAAAAACACTAGAGTTATCAGTGTTGATGAATAATGATTTAAAGCCAATTCTCTTAAGGCACAGTCTTTCCACACAACTGTACAGGCTTCGGTGCCATCCAATATCAGGCTCCATGCAGGAAGTAGATCAGCTGAGCTCATCCAATAGCAACAACTGTTGTCCAGCTGGATCATCCAATCCCAACAATGACACAGTATATTCAGCCAATGGAAACAACCGTACCAAGGAGAACCCTTCCAATAGTAACAAAAATTATTTTCCCAGCCCTCTGCTCTGCTAGAGCGGATAGAGAACAAAAACCTGTGTCTGTTGATTTAGGCAGCGATTCAAACATACACATATGAACCTGTGTGTGATGAGTATGAATGTACTGTTTATTCTCCCTTCTCCCAGTCACTCTCTCTCTATTTTTCTTCCTCATTATCTGTCTCGCCTTTACTCCCTCTTTCTCCGTCTGTCTCTCCCTCTCCCTTACACACCATTTCCAAAAATTGTCTTATTTTTTTTAAATCTTTGCCTGTTTCAAATTTAACGATTGTTCTTTATTGGCGTAACCACGTTAGAGTGAGTATTGCCAAAGCAAGGAGAAACAGAGCAATGTTATCGTGACAGAACAAAGAGAGCATTGATACGTGTTGGCCACATTTATACCATGGCTATCTATCTCTTAATCTCTCGTGGACATATGAAACGACGAGAATCTGTCAAGGCCCACGTAGAATGTGATTACGAGCAGCAGTAGTTCCTGCTTTTTTGGTTTTCGTAGTTGATAATTTGGACGAATCAGGATTTTTAGAAGGCGGTGCTTAAATTGGTGCGGTGATTTTCAAGGCCGTGTGCGGATGATAAACGCTTTCCACAGCCACAAAGTCAAAATGGGTTGTATCGTAAAAATTCATGAAAACTCAAACTTTGGCCTTGATAAACACGGGTGAAATTAGCTGAACGGAGGGGTTTGGCCGATAGTTTCCGTTTTACGTGAGAGGAAACTTGGCTTCCTTTCTTCGCACAAAGGTATTCACAATTGTTAACGGCATTCCACCAGAAGTAAAACAGGAAATTACAAACTTTCACGAGATAGATAGTTTTACTTCTGGGTAAGCAAGATTATCTCTTTATTACAGTGGAGAGAGGCCATCTAATGCTTCTGAGAGTAACACCAAAAAATACAGTATTTCCCCCTTTTCTTTTCCAAAGGGATGGGGTTCTAAGTATGCATTATTTCACTCTCTTTCCCCGTCTCCACCGTTTACTCTCTTTACCCCTCCCTTCTATCCATAACACCCTCTCTTTGCCCCACTCTCAAGCAAAATATGAATGTCATTTAATAAGGTAGCTTATATTTATCCTCTCTCTCTCTCCCCTCCCTCTGTCCAGGTTGACTCCAGAGGACAAGCGTCTGTTGTGGGAGAAGCGTTCATTCTGCCAGTCAGAGAGTGGTGCCCTGCCCCTGGTGCTAGCTAGTGCCCCCTGCTGGGAGTGGGCATGTCTGTCAGACATCTATGCCCTACTCCGCCAGTGGGCATGTCTCAACCACCACGACGCACTGGGCCTGCTGCATGCCTCGTAAGTGGACTGTGTGTGCGTGTGGTTACCAGGCAATGGTTTCTGGGGCAGCACTCGCCAGGGAAACAGTCACCGGGCAACTGTCGCCAGAAGACCTGTGGTCACCATTCAACCTTGTCATGATGTGTTAGGACTGGAGGTGTTAGTGTGGACCACAGCCATGCTGGCAGTTTGGGGTCATGGTCAGAGATGGGAGTGGACCTGACAGGCTTAGAATCCTGTTCTGGAACATAAATACCATGAGTTCACCTCAGCAGGGCAACATGCATGGCATCACATGCATCAACCGCTTTGAAGAATGACAGTTCAATGATTAATGAGGTCCAAGCATTTGTTTGATCTCTCAAATATTTCTTTATTTTGGATTGAAACAATGTAGTAATTGAATACGAAATGTATTTAATGTGTATTAGGTTCCCTGATCAGGAGCTGAGGCATACTGCAGTACAGTGGATGGACTCCATCTCTGACCCTGAGCTGCTGGACTTCCTACCACAGCTGGTGCAGGTAACACCGTACCAATGCCTTATGAGCGCACCTTACCAATTCATTATGAATACCATACAAACACCTTATTAGAGGGCTATGTGGAGCAACTAACCAACTCTCTTAATCTGTGTCCCCCTCTGGCTCGCAGGCTCTTAAATATGAGTGTTACCTGGACAGTCCGTTGGTGCGTTTCCTGCTACGGAGAGCCATAGGGGACATGCGCATTGCACACTATCTCTTCTGGTGAGACTTACACACATCAGCTCATGCATGAAGACGCACTCAGCCTTCCTTTTGTCTTCATACACAACCTGATGTAGGCTCACATAGATACACACAGACACACACCGCCTCTTATTTCAACATAGACATGAGTCAATTCATCACTCACATTCGCTCACAGAAACACCCATTAACAAAGTAAAGCACTGCATGCCATACATGACAATGCTGTAATGTAGGACAATGTCATTGATGCATTGTCTTCACTAGGGCAAACATGTTCACATGTCTCCACCTGCTGGACAGATTGGGAAATGCCAAAACAAACTCACTGGATGATGCATAAGAATTTATTCTTAAAAATGAGTTAACACAATTACATCAGGGCCCATATTCATAAGAAGTAGGAGTGCTGATCTAGGATCAGGTCCCCCCTCTTAATCATTATGATTTGAAAGGCTAAACTGATGCTAGAGGAGCACTCGGAGATGCTTCATGAATACGGGCCCTGAACACAAAGTACACATGTTTTAAATAGTGGACCACATGAACAATAGTCAGATATTGTTGTGAAACCTCTCTCCTCCCCCTTCTTCCCTCCTCTCCTCCCCCTTCCCTCTCTTTCCCAGGTTGTTGAAGGACACCCTGCAGGACAGTCAGTTCAGTGGGAGGTACCAGCACCTGTTAGCAGGCCTGCTGTGCTGTGTGGGTAGGGGTCTCAGAGAGGAGTTTGACAGACAGTGCTGGCTGGTCACCATCCTGGCTAAAGTAGCCCAACGTGTCCGGGACACCTCTCCCTCCAGCAGACAGGCTATCCTTCGAGAGGGCCTAGAGGAGGTCAAGCAGTTCTTCTCAGGCAGTAGCAGCTGCCGTCTCCCCCTCAACCCTGGCATGCTGGTCAAAGCCATCAACATACAGGTACGTGTTTGTGTTAGTGTGTGTGTGTGTGTGTGTGTGTGTTTGCTCCTGTGTGTGTGTGTGTGTGATCTCTAATCCTCTCTCTCCTCTCCTGTCTGCAGTTGTGTTCCTACTTCAACTCCAACGCCGTGCCCCTCAAATTGTCCTTCCAGAACCTGGACCCTCGGGGAGACAACATCAATGTCATCTTCAAGGTAAACATTTCAAACTCCACTGAATCAGAGAGCCACTTAAGACTGCTGAGATGCAGCACCTGTTGTGCACATTTACATTTACTGAATCAACAAACCACTTAAATGTACCTTTCTGAACCCGTGTTGACCTTCGACCTCTGTGACCGCTGTGTCTTGTGCCCTCTGACCGCTGCTCTCAAGTCAGGTGACGACCTGCGCCAGGACATGCTGACCCTGCAGATCATCCGCATCATGAACAAGATCTGGATCCAGGAGGGGCTGGACATGAGGATGGTGATCTTCAGATGCTTTTCTACGGGAAGAGGCAGAGGTAAGGAGGAAGCGAGAGTGAGAGAGTGAGAGAGAGAAGGTGGGAGAGAGGTTCCTGTTTTGATTAATTTAATGGCGTGGGTTAGGTCTGCTCTATACCAAATTAGCATACCCCCTGAGTCTTTTCCCTGTTTTACTTCTGGTAGTTTGGTGGATGGGACTACCAGCTCTCTTTAACCTAGAGGGCAACCAGTGGGTCCATCTCCTCTTTACCATGTTTCTTGTAGGATGACAATGTCTGTAGGATGACAATGTGTGTATTTCTGATTTCTTTGGTGAAGTCCAGGTTCCTGCTCTTTAGGGCAAAGGCAGATGACCTCAGGCCTTGGATATTCCAGGATGAGCTAGTGAAGGCTTTGTGTTCCATAAAGTGTCCAATGTTTTTATTTGTGTGGTTTAGCCTCAGACCAGTAAGTGTGAGCAGAGCCTACTGAGCATCTGATACATTCCATTGGCTTGGGCTAGTGTAAGAGTGGGGGTTGGGCCTGTTTGCCTGCTCACAGCCTGGGCGTATGTGTGACTTTCATGTTGAGGCCCTCTTTGCGGGATGTCCTTTAGGGTCCTGGCGAAGGTGGGCACTGCTGCCTCGTATAGGTGGACCTGGTCATAAAGGCTGTTCAAGTCCAGGGTGGAGTAGTGGGCCAGGTATACATTTGGTTTTGAGGCATGGCCATGGGAAATACTTCCGTTTACCCACTGTATGGTAGCATGGTGGAAGTATTTTCGTGGTAGCAGGGTGGAGATAACCACTTGTGCGTTGGGGAAAGTAGAATAAACTTTTTCAATCACTGCCTTGAGTGCTGTGGCCTCCCTTTCCTGCTGTGCTCTCAGGTCATTTTTGCCTGTGTGTATTATTATGTGGCTGATTGACCTGAGTTGGTGCTCAGAAAAAGATCTATGGCGTGCTGGGTGTTTGGACACCAGAGTTTAGACACCGTGTGTTTGGGAAAAGGTTTATTTTCTTGTATATATTTCCCGTTTGAGTCCATAAGGAGTACAATCTGTGGCTTGTGTGTGTCCTCTGTGGGTGTGGGGGGGTTGTCAGGAGGGCTGACAGGGGGTTGCTAGGAGGGGGTAGGGTCCCCTGGGCTTGGGGTTCTTCATTTATCTGTCCTACTGTGATGTCGAGGCTATTGTCAAGGTCTGGGGTGGACTGTTCTGCTGTGGTGTCTGCTGGCTTTTCAGCAGGGGTGGCCAGCTCTCTCATGGGTTGTTCTCTATCACACCTCATCTTTCTAACCTTCTCCTCTATTGCTCACATCTTCTCCTGTTGCTGGGCCTCCTCCTTCCGCTCCTGCTCTTTCTCCTGTTGAAGTTGTCTCGCCACAGTCCAGAGTGAAGAAATGTCTCTACCCCTCCACCTCTCCGGGTCTGGTTGAGGGGGTGTTGTTGTGCTGGACTGTTGTCTGGGTCTGTGCTGACTGGAGTGTGTTCACCTGCTGTTCCAGCTCCTCCAGCTGGGTGAATGTATTCTTAATTTCAGTGAGGGAGTAGTACTCTGTGTTGGGGAGGTTGACTTTTCGCTTGGGGTTGCTCGTCTGTGGGGTTGTTTTAAGGAAGAGGTCTGGACTGACTTGCTCGGAGTGGGGGAGTCTTTCTCAAGAGAGAGCTTCTCCTGCTGCGCTCCCTCTTTGATTCCGTGGAAGTCCAGCTGAAACTGTTTGGGGTTGCCCTGTACAAATACTGTTCCAGACTTGTACAGGTTGACATTGGTTGACTCAGTCCTCGTTGTCTAGTATCCTGAGTTTCCACCCATCGCTAACACCCCCTCTTGACAGAGGGGTAGCACTGTGCTTTGCCAGAGGATGGTCTGTGTGGAAGATGAAGTTGCTTACATTCCCATTTTTGTAGCAGTCAGCAAAAAGTGTCTGGATTGTCCATGATGAGCTTCTTTTTGTACTCTTTGTGTCCCACATTTTTTACATCCAATGGGTACTGTATTGTGATGACCTCTGCACAGGTGGAAGCCATGGAGCAACGGGCCTCAAAGCCCTCTGTATTTGGGTGGGGGAGGCTGTGAAACTCTTCTGCCATTGTTGTGCTCAAGGGCTTTGACACCTCTCACTTCACACCTCAGTGCTAATTGAAATTGCAGCCGGATCTGTTCTGTCCTAGCAAGCTTGGTAGCCTTAACTTAGCATTCAGTCCTTATAAAGTAAAATAGATTATTGTAATACATTTTTCTTTTGGCTTTAAAAGAAGCTTCAGACTAAACATTATTTTCAGGTTTCTGTTGTTCTTCTTTTGCTGGTCGTTAGTTTGCCAGAGCATTTGCTGTATATCTTTGGTAGTAAGAATCCTTCCAGGTAATTTTGTCCAAAATCAGGTTGTAGGTTTGGAGTTTTGATTTGGAGTGAAGGTTATGTTGTGGAGGGTAGTATCCTATATATGTTATTCTGAAAAAATCCAAGTTTATCCAACTCTAAATCTACAGTGAGGGAAAAAAAGTATTTGATCCCCTGCTGATTTTGTACGTTTGCACACTGACAAAGAAATGATTAGTCTATAATTTTTATGGTAGGTTTATTTGAACAGTGAGAGACCGAATAACAACAACAAAATCCAGAAAATTGCAATGATCATGAGAACGGTGAGGAATCAGCCCAGAACTACACAGGAGGATCTTGTCAATGATCTCAAGGCAGCTGGGACCATAGTCACCAAGAAAACAATTGGTAACACACTACGCCGTGAAGGACTGAAATCCTGCAGGGAAACATTACACTCACAAAAGTTGTAAAAGAGTATAGACATTTCAAATGTTCTATTATTGGCTGTGTACAGTGTTGTAATGTGCAAGTAGTTGAAGTATGAAAGGGGAAATAAATAAACAGATAAATATAGGTTGTATTTACAATGTTTTTACTCCTCTGGTTGCCCTTTTCTCATGGCAACGGGCCACAAATCTTACTGATGTGACTGCACACTGCGGTAGTTTATCAATGTTTGATTTGTTTTCAAATTATTTGTGGGTGTGTGTGATCTGTGGGAAATACACTATATAGAAGAGTATGTGGACACCCCTTCAAATTAGTGGATATGGCTATTTCAGCCACACCCATTGCTGACAGGTGTATAAAATTGAGCACACAGCCATGCAATCTCCATAGACAAACATTGGCAGTAGAATGGTTTTACTGAAGAGCTCAGTGACTTTCAACATGGCAACGTCATAGGATGCCACCTTTCCAACAAGTCAGTTCGTCAAATTTAGTTCCAGTGAAGGGAAATCTTAACGCTATAGCATACAATGACATTTTAGGCGATTCTGTGCATCCAACTTTGTGGCAACAGTTTTGGGAAGGCCCTTTCCTGTTTCAGCATGACAACGCCCCCATGCACAAAGCGAGGTCTGTACAGAAATAATTTGTTGATCGGTGTGGAAGAACTTGACTGGCCTGCACAGAGCCTTGACCTCAACCCCATTGAACACCTTTAGGATGAATTGGAAAGCCGACTGTGAGCCAGGATTAATCGGCCAACATCAGTGCCCGACCTCACTAATGTTCTTGTGGCTGAATGGAAGCAAGTCCCTGCAGCAATGTTCCAACATCTAGTGGAAAGCCTTCCCAGAAGAGTGGAGGGGAAACCAACTCCATATTAATGCCCATGATTTTGGAATGAGATGTTTGACGAGCAGGTGTCCACATACTTTTGGTCATGTAGTCTCTCTCTCACTGACTCACACTCACAGGTATGGTGGAGATGATTCCCCAGGCTGAGACTCTGAGGAAGATCCAGGGGGAACATGGAGTGACTGGTTCCTTTAAGGACCGCCCCCTTGCTGACTGGCTACAGAAACACAACCCCACAGAGGATGAGTATGAGAAGGTACAGTCAGACACATGTGCACACATGCACAAACTATCACTCACTCACTCAAGCGCCCGCTCTCTCAACCTCACACAAACACTCTCTCATTGTACACACTGTGACCTGTAACCTCTGACCCTGTGCTGTGTCATGCTAGGCTGTGGAGAACTTCATCTACTCGTGCGCAGGCTGCTGCGTGGCCACCTACATCCTGGGTATCTGTGACCGCCACAACGACAACATCATGCTGAAGACCAGCGGTCACATGTTCCACATCGACTTTGGCAAGTTTTTGGGACATGCCCAGATGTTTGGCAACATCAAACGGTGAGCTCGGGAGGCAGAGAGGGCGCTGGGAAATATATGCCCAACTTCAATTTCAAATCTAGCCGTAGTCGCTATTGCTAGGACAGAGGAACGCAACTTTTACCACTGTGTCTTTGTTTTTTGCTTAGTGTTTTTCTGATTGGCAGACAGACACAGATGGTTCTGTTCCTACTGGTAGAGACCGATGGCCCTGTGTTCTGATTGGTATTTATCTGTGTGTGTTTGTGATTGGCAGGGACCGTGCTCCGTTTGTGTTCACCTCTGACATGGCCTATGTCATCAACGGCGGAGACAAACCTTCCAGTCGTTTCCATGACTTTGTGGACCTGTGCTGTGAAGCCTACAACCTCATCCGCAAACACGCACACCTTTTTCTCAACCTACTAGGACTGGTACGTATACATACACACACGTGTGCGTGCACGAACGCACACATGCACACACACTGATGTCTCCCTATGTGACCTGTGTAGATGTTGTCGTGTGGCATCCCTGAGCTGTCAGACCTGGATGATCTGAAGTATGTCTACGACGCCCTGAGACCTCACGAGTCTGAGGCTGATGCCACCATGTACTTCACCAGGTACACACCATCACACACACACACACACACACACACAAACTGTATATTCTATATAGACTTACAGTATAATCCGTATAGTCATAGAGTATGTTGTCTCTCTCTCTCTCTCTCTCTCTCTCTCTCTCTCTCTCTCTCTCTCTATGTGTGTGTCTGTCTCTCGCTCTCGCTCTCTCTCTCTCTGTCTGTCTCTCGCTCTCTCTCTCTGTGTCTCTCTCTCTGTGTCTCTCTCTCTCTCTCTCTCTGTGTCTGTCTCTCTCTCTCTCTGTGTCTGTCTCTCTCTCTCTCTCCCTGTCTCTGTGTCTGTCTCTCTCTCTCTCTCTCTCTGTGTGTTGCTGTCTCTCGCTCTCGCTCTCTCTCTCTCTGTCTGTCTCTCGCTCTCTCTCTCTGTGTCTCTCTCTCTGTGTCTCTCTCTCTGTGTCCTCTCTCCTCTCTCTGTCTCTCTCTCTGTCTGTCTCTCTCTTCTGTCATCGTCTCTTGTCTGTCTGTCTCTTCTCTCTCTCTCTGTGTCTGTCCTCTGTATCTTTATCTCGGTGCGTCTGAGTCTCTCTCTCGTACTCCTCTCCTCTCCTCTCTCTCATCTCTCTCTCTCTCTTTCCTCTCTTTCTCTCTCTCTCTCTCTTTTTCTCTCTCTCTCTCTTTTTCTCTCTCTCTGTCCCTCTCTAGGTTGATAGAGTCCAGTCTGGGCAGTGTTGCAACTAAGTTGAACTTCTTCATCCATAACTTGGCCCAGATGAAGTTTGCCTCATCCGAGGAGCATCCTGTCCTCTCCTTTGCCCCTCGGGTTTACACCCTCAAGACTGACGGACTCATCCTCAACCTCTTTGTCTGCCGACACATACGAACTTACAGCTCAAGCAAAGGATACGTAAGTCTACAGTCATACACACCTACAGTCCTAGTAAATTACACCTATGTAAATCTACAGTTACATGTACACATAGGCCCAGCAAGGGATATGTCCACTATACTACATACGCACATACAGGCCCAGCAAATTATACAAGAATTCCTAAGTCTACAGTCATATGTTATACTACGTATACACATACAGCCCCAGAAAATTAGTGCTATGTAAGTCTACAGTTACCCACACACATATGCACCTACACTTTAGTATAAGCCCAGCAACAAATACAAAAGACAAACCGTCTCTCCCTAACCCTAGCCCACAGCCTCCGTAAAGGATACATCATGTAAGGGTAGAGTCATGTAAGATCAAGTATATAGTGTGTCTCTCCCCAGGCATTTGTGGTGAAAGTTGAGCGAGAGGGCCAGCAGGGGTCAGTGTTGGTCCAGAGGAGCTTTGAGGAGTTCTATGAATTACACAGTAAACTACGCCTCATCTTCCCCTCATCCAAACTACCCAGGTAACACACGCACGCACACACACTGATCATGTACAGATCATCACCCTTCTCTTGAAACAACAACAGTAACTAAAACTAGTAATAGAGGAATAGTAATATTAGTGATAATAATTGGAGTCTAAATAACTGTAGGAAGTGATGTCACTGGTATCTATCTGTAACTATCCACCTCATTTTCGAACACTTTTAAAACACGGAAGCCAAACGCAGCAACTATGGATACAACTTACTCCGCGCTCGTGCATTATCATAATTCATATGCGCACCACTAGAAATCCCTGCATTAGCATGTTTCTGTTAGCTGAGACAGTATATTACTGTCTTGCTAATGTGTTTGGACCTTGTAAACTGCCGTGAAAACCCCCATAATTGATCCAAATGGTTTCCCAATCAGGCAGGCTAGATACAGTTATTTTGAAATGAACATGCATTAAAAATGGCAGGCTTTTGAGCGGTTATTCAAATGACAGGCTATTCACTGCAGTCTACAGCCTAGACTAGAGTTTTTTACTCACTTGAAAACAATAATAAAATTCTTCATGACATTGTTGTTGTAGCCTAGGTAGGATACATTTCTTGTCCCTAAAAAACTGAAACAATAGGGTAGGTTTTCCAGCCTGTCTGTCGTCATTGTTCTGTTGCGCAATTACGCACCTGGCCTTTTTCGCTGCCACAGGTATTCCTTTTCATTATTGTGAAGTCCCAGGATAAGCCAGACTACAAAAGCTTGTTGGACACCTATTTCGCCTTCTTTTCTTTAGCCTACTAATAGCCTATTGGAGGAGCGACGCATGCTTGCTCTTGCTTGCTGAATGTAAAATAGGCTACAGCATTAAGAACAGGGAGTTGTAAAGGAGAAGCCCATATTTTACTATAGTAGGCCTATCTTCACACCGGGCTACATCCTGACAAAATATATCATATGAGTGGCCTGCTAATGTACCTTTCTAAACCTTCTATACTGTCGACAATAGACCCAAACTGATCCAAATAGTTGCATGATCAGGCCTAGGCTGTTGGCCTATGCAGTTATTTCAGCATGTGCGGTTATTCAAATTAGCCTACATCACTTCAGTTTACGGCCTATGGACAATAATTGTGTATTCACTTGATAACAATAATAAATTCCTCATTGCACTGTTGTTGTAGCCCAGGTATAATAATTGTATTGTCTAAAAACATAGGCCTAGGCCTAATCAATAGTGGATCTTTGCATGCCTGGGGACCACAGAGCACAGCCTGAAGGAACGCGCTACAGAGCTGCCATTTCATAATCTGTCAACTTATTTGTCTTGCACTTTGACAGGTAAATATTTAGCCTATAGCCCTAATATTTAGCTAATAATTAGCCTAATATCTAGCTAATATTTAGCTTCTTACTTCGGCTACACATCACTAGACTCTCTTCCAGCTGTTTCCGTGCGCAACAGGCTATTGGCTATGCAATCCTCTCCACAATAGGCCATTCCTCTTATTGTGAAGTCCCAGGAAAAGCTATAGGCTACAAAAGATACAGTAGGACATTTATTTTCATCATTTTTTATACTACGCCTAATAGCCTATTCGGGGGAAGAAGAAGGCTTGCTCTTGCTAATTGCTGAATGTGAAACAGGCCTACAGCATAGAAAATGAATGTCTGGGAAAGTTTAGGAGAGAGTGCATTGGTGTGATCACTTTTGGATGGTTATGATAACATTGTTGCACTGATGCATTGCAAATAGTGGCACAGGACGTACAGAGATGAGCACAGGGAAAAATAAGAACCAAAGGAATTTACAACCATTAGAAAAATGGAAATCACTTCGAACCACTTGAGCAATGAGGCAATGACATGCTGTAAAAGATACAGGCTAAACAACGTTTGTTGTTGAATTGCTACATTTGAATACACTACTGTTAAAAAGTTTGGGTTCACTTAGAAATGTCCTTGTTTTCAAAAGAAAAGCAATTTTTTTGTCCATTTTAAAATAACAGCACATTTATCAGAAATACAGTGTAGACATTCTTAATGTTGTAAATGGCTATTGTAGCTGGAAACGGCTGATTTAAAAAATAAAAATAAAAAAAAATAATGGAATATCTACATAGGCGTACAGAGGGCCATTATCAGCAACCATCAGTCCTGTGTTCCAATGGCAAGTTGTGTTTGCTAATCCAAGTTTATCATTTTAAAAGGCTAATTGATCATTAGAAAACTATTTTGCAATTATGTTAGCACAGCTGAAAACTGTTGTGCTGATTTAAAGAAGCAATAAAACTGCCCTTCTTGAGACTAGTTGAGTATCTGGAGCATCAGCAATTGTGGGTTTGATTACAGGCTCAAAATGGCCAGAAACAAATAACTTTCTTCTGAAACTCGTCAGTCTATTCTTGTTCAGAGAAATGAAGGCTATTCCATGCGAGAAATTGCCAAGAAACTGAAGATCTCGTACAACGCTGTGTACTACTCGCTTCACAGAACAGCGCAAACTGGATCTAACCAGAATAGAAAGAAGAGTGGGAGGCCAAGGTGCACAACTGAGCAAGAGGACAAATACATTAGTGTCTAGTTTGAGAAACAGACGCCTCACAGGTCCTCAACTGGCAGCTTCGTTAAATAGTACCCGCAAAACACCAGTCTCAACGTCAACAGTGAAGAGGCGACTCCGGGATGCTGACCTTCTAGGCAGTTGCAAAGAAAAAGCCATATCTCAGACTGGCCAATAAAAAGAAAATATTAAGATGGGCAAAAGAACACAGACACTGGACAGAGGAAGATTGGAAAAAAGTTTTATGGACAGACGAATCGAAGTTTGAGGTGTTCGGATCACAAAGAAGAACATTTGTGAGACGCAGACCAAATGAGAAGATGCTGGAGGAGTGCTTGATGCCATCTGTCAAGCATGGTGGAGGCAATGTGATGGTCTGGGGGTGCTTTGGTGGTGGTAAAGTGGGAGATTTGTACAGGGTAAAAGGGATCTTGAAGAAGGAAGGCTTTCACTCCATTTTGCAACGCCATGCCATACCCTGTGGACGGCGCTTGATTGGAGCCAATTTCCTCCTACAACAGGACAATGACCCAAAGCACAGCTCCAAACTATGCAATAACTATTTAGGGAAGAAGCAGTCAGCTGGTATTCTGTCTATAATGGAGTGGCCAGCATAGTCACCGGATCTGAACCCTATTGAACTGTTGTGGGAGCAGCTGGACCGTATGGTACGTAAGAAGTGCCCATCAAGCCAATCCAACTTGTGGGAGGTGCTTCAGGAAGCATGGGATGTAATCTATTCAGATTACCTCAAAAAATTGACAACTAGAATGCCAAAGGTCTGCAAGGCTGTAATTGCTGCAAATGGAGGATTCTTTGACGAAAGCAAAGTTTGAAGGACACAATTATTATTTCAATTAAAAATCATGATTTCTAACCTTGTCAATGACTACATTTCCTATTAATTTAGCTATATTTCCTATTCAAACTCATTTCATGTATGTTTTCATTGAAAACAAGGACATTTCTAAGTGACCCCAAACTTTTGAACAGTAGTGTACATATTTTTCATTAGGCCTACATGTACATTGAAGTATTATTTGCTGTTGTCACTATGACAATGAACACACCCTGAAAGCACTGAATGGTCTGAACCAGTATCTGTGTGTAGAGACCTCATGAATGGTCTTGTGTTATCACCTTATTATAGGCAGTGTGCAGTGGGATGTGTTGATAATTTGATTGACAGGTGTAGTACAGTAGAACGATAAACTATAAATGTTCCTCTTGTGTGGATGCTCACCAACGTTTTATAGTTATGTAGCCTATAGTTTATCATTATAATTATCATTATAGTTATTGGCTTGGTGGATGGCCCGGGCCTTAACTCTGACACAATACAACTAACGTTATTATCACAACAGAACTAGCCTACTAGTAGGTCTAGCTAACGTTAGCGAACTTGAATGAAATAAATATAAAATTACACTTATACTCTATAAATTGACTTTCAAATAATTTCCTCTGGCAAGTTTGCCACCGGCGCTGCAGTAGGGAAGTAAAGCGGAAGTGGAATCTATCACTTCCGTTGTTTGGCTGTGCCCATAGCAACGATCGAAAATGAGGTGGATATTAACTATCTGTAACTGTAAAGTGAAATCATGACAATGTCCTTTGATGCCCCTCCCAGTTTCCCCAGCCGGTTTTTGATTGGGCGGTCTCGAGGAGAGGCGATGGCTGATAGGAGGAAAGACGAGCTCAATGGATATGTCTGGCATCTGGTGCACGCTGCGCCCGAGGTCGCCCAGGTAACCAGTCAACTCTGACCTTTGGGTTCAGGCACTCAGTGACCCCTGTTGTGTGTCTGCCACTCTATTTAAATATCTATTTAAAGCACTGTGTTACCACTACATTCACTAGACCAGGGGTTCTCAAACCTCTCCTTGGGACTCCCAGACATGATTACCTTACCTGATTTACCTAGTCAGGTGTTGACTCCGTTCAATCAGGTGTGCTAACTCTGGAATAGATCAAATACATGGAATGACTGGGTGTCCCAGAGTAAAGGTTTGAGAACCACTGCACTAGACTGACCATGAATGTCATCCTAATGCTGTATTAACAGTTCATTTATAATGTAAATTACTATATGAAACTGCTGTAAGTGTTAGTGTACTACTTATATAACTGTCAGTTATTTATGTGCATGGACACACGCTCATTAAAGTGGAGGCAGAATGATCTGTGTGGAGTCAGTCTGTATGTGTCTGTGGTTTCAGTATGACTGGAGAGTTTCTTAGAATTCAGCCCCTCCCTTTTAGAAGAAGCCACACATCAGTGTTACAGCCTTAGACACACACACACACAATCTGTCAGGGTGGGTACTGTAGTCCCATTCCAGAACTGTACAATCTGTCAGGGTGGGTACTGTAGTCCCATTCCAGAACTGTACAATCTGTCAGGGTGGGTACTGTAGTCCCATTCCAGAACTGTACAATCTGTCAGGGTGGGTACTGTAGTCCCATTCCAGAACTGTACTACTGCCTCTGATTGCTGACAAACTTCCCTCCACACACACGGCTCCACTTCCACGTCAAACTAAAACACAAGCTAGAACTGCTAGCGCTCCCATTTATTTTCTTCAGTTTGGAAATGGCGCCCACAGTGTTGGTGTGAGTTGATGTTCCACCTAGGAATTAATTAGGTGGAACATCTGTCATATTGTTGTTTTCTGTCATTAACTGAATGTACCCTTCCTCCTCCTCCTCTCTTCCCATCTCTCTCTTTGTCTCTCTTTATCTCTCTCTATCTCTGTTTCTGTCTTTCTGTCTCTCTCTTTCTGTCTCTCTTTATCTCTCTAAGTGTGACCTCATCTACACTTTCTTCCATCCACTGCAAAGAGACGAGAAACCTGGAACAGTAGTGAACACACTGCAGAGCAAACCTGCAGGTACACACCCACACACTCAGTGTGTGATTCATCAGGTGACTCACTGAGAGGAGATGGTTATCGATTGGAACCATTATTTGAATGACATGTAATGCACAGCATGTAGGCACAGGGTTAAGTTTATCACTTACTAAAACAAACTCACACCCACCCACACACACACAGCAGAGTCCAGTGTATCGAGCCCGTGACACACACTCTGTGTCCTTGGTGACCGGAATAGGAGCCTATGTGATAAAGTAACCAATCACAGACATTTTACATTTACATTTTAGTCATTTAGCAACGTTTATGAGTTAGGGGTTACAGGTTAATGGAACTCCAGATTTCAATCTGGCTGATTGGCTCTCTAATGAAGATGGATCTACAGCACATACAGTACATAGGTATACAGTCACCTATCTCAGTAGATCCAGCCCTCCCTCCTCCCTGGGCCGTCACACACACAAACACAATACATGTACACACACCTCCTGCCACTATAAACACACACACATACACTCATACTGTATAGCCTTATTAAAATCCTACATTGAGCTTTAAACTCATTCTGCTATAATCACATGCGCCGTCTCTGTTTGTCTCTCTCCCCCACCTGCAGAGATCTGTTGGGCTCCGGTCTCAGGCAAAGTGGTAGGAGAGGTCAAGCTCTCCATCTCCTACAAGAGTGACAAGCTCTTCATCATGGTCATGCACATACGAGGCCTGGTGAGTGTGCATGTGCATGCATTGTGTGTGTGCGTGCGCGTGTATGTTCAGCATGCTGATTGAGAATGTAATGCTGTTGAAGATTTCTACTGTAGACTGTTATTGAGGATATACTGACTATCCTTCCCCCTCTGTCTTTCCTAGCAACCCTTGCAGGAAGGGACAGACCCTGACCCCTATGTCAAGCTGTACCTCCTCCCAGACCCCCAGAAAACCAGCAAGAGGAAGACCAAGGCCGCGCGCCGCACCTGTAACCCCACCTACAATGAGATGGTGAGATCTAGTTGATGTGTGACTGTGTATGTAACTTTGTGTATCTCTTCTGTCCCTGTAGTTGGTGTATAACTCTGTATGTCTCATCTCTCTCCCTGTAGTTGGTGTATAACTCTGTATGTCCCTTCTCTCTCCCTGTAGTTGGTGTATAACTCTGTATGTCCCTTCTCTCTCCCTGTAGTTGGTATATGACCGTATCCCTCGTGGAGACCTACAGCAGAGGGTGATCCACCTGCGGGTACTGGGGGATGGTGCATTCTGGGAAAACACCCTGCTGGGCGAGGTCTTCATCCCCCTGAAGACCCTGACACCCGGACAGTGCTGGGCAGACTGGCACCAACTGGGCACGCCCAGCACCGACTCCACACACTGAGAGAGCCAGAGGAGGAGGGTGAGAGAGAGAGGGCGAGAAATGACTAATCAGGTTGTGCGTGCACACAAGTGTGTGTATGTGTGTGTGTGCGTAGGTGTGTTCAGTTGTGAGAGTTGGGCTGGTTTATTCCCCCCAGTGGGGGTGTGTGTTGACCCCTATCATGCCCAGGTTGGAGGTGTTTGTGTGTGTCCTACCTAGGTTGGAGGTGTGTTTGTGTGTGTCTGTAGACTCACCAACAGTCATCGTCACTGGACACTGTATCCATGGGACTGTACTATATGGACCTATTGTTAGCCAGGCTGACCTCTGACCACCATAAAAAGGGATTAACTACGGACCATGTGACCAGAAGGGGGAAGATGACCAGTCTGTATCTCTGGTGACTGACTACCAGAATACCTTTCTCTGGTAACAACATGGCCTCCCAAGACCAGGTCACAGAGGACCATGGGAGGAAGCAGAAGGCATTGTTACTCAGTGAAAATGTGGAGAATCTCAATTGCATACTCCTCTTGTCCTCTCTCCTCATCTCCTTCTCTAAACCCATTGGATGAGAAAGCCAGAAGTCCCGCCCCTCTGACCTTCTCCTCCAATGGGTTTTGAGAAGGAGGCGAGGAAAGAGGAGAGAGGACGCGAGGTGTATGCAATCGAGATTCTCCCATGGACCACATCTTTCCCTTTTATCTAGGGTCAACGGAGAGCCGTCCTCTTACCAGCTGATGAAAAAGACTTTGAAACAGGGGAAGTCCCCTTGGAAGTCATGTCTTTTTAAAAGAAAACCTTAAGTTATTTCTTTTTCAAATGTTATCCTTCTGTTAATGCAGCTCCATTTTGAGCTCTGTTTGGTTGTGTATATTATTTTCATGTCTGTGTGTACCCCAGATTTATGTAGATTGTGATATGTGAATTATGTTGGGTCAGTCTTTCTGATTTGAGAGAGGGCATGAATGCTTTTGTACTATTGTGGTGTAGAGATGTACAGTACCCACTGGACCTGCCTATGGTATGGGTCTACCCTAACACATTATGGTATGGGTCTACCCTAACACATTATGGTATGGGTCTACCCTAACACATTATGGTATGGGTCTACCCTAACACATTATGGTATGGGTCTACCCTAACACATAATGGTATGGGTCTACCCTAACACATAATGGTATGGGTCTACCCTAACACATTATGGTATGGGTCTACCCTAACACATTATGGTATGGGTCTACCCTAACACATTATGGTATGGGTCTACCCTAACACATTATGGTATGGGTCTACCCTAACACATAATGGTATGGGTCTACCCTAACACATTATGGTATGGGTCTACCCTAACACATTATGGTATGGGTCTACCCTAACACATTATGGTATGGGTCTACCCTAACACATTATGGTATGGGTCTACCCTAACACATTAAAGACTCTTTAGTCCACTCAGCCAGTGGCTGTAGCTACTCTACTGTAGAACTTGTAGGACTGTGTGTTTGTGTCTCCCATTGTTGAGTAGCTGTTGTTATCCCAAGTTGTACCTAAGCTTCATTTGGCCATTTGATGATCGCTATTTGCATTTCAAATGTCTTATTGGGCGAAACCTCATCTGAATCACTTGTTTCCATTTTTGGCTTTTATCAATGCCTTCACAAATATTTTTTGCATTAGTGCTTCTACACAACACATACGTGGATGTTGGGAAAATCTAACTGTTTGCTAGGGCCAGAGATGCACTGTGTATATCACAAAGAAAATGCTATTTCAAACACAAAACTGAAACACCATTCAACTGCATCCAGTGGACATATTGCACATGGATTTATTTCTCATGCATTTTTAACTTGCATTGGACTTTCATGTCGTTTCAAACTACAAAGGGATCCTGCCTATGTATTATCCAGTACTGTAGCTTTAATAGAAAACACAACGGCACACTGACAGGATAAGTGCAAAACAAGGATTGTGTGTGATTTCATGCATACCTGAAAAAACCTCAACTACATGTACCTACAGTAGCATTGCTCTACACATTTGTGTCTTGCCTTTGGGAAATTTTGGGGTGTGCACCGCAGTCTTTTTTGGCAGTGATTTCTCACTCATTTTCTTCTGTAAGAGAATTACACACTGGACCTGTTTCGCTCTGGCAGACAGACACTGTGACCTCTCACAATGCAAATAGTCCATTTTCATTGGAATAAACTGCTTATGGGCAGTGTACTATATCCACACAGAATCAATATGTCTTCATTCACTGGTGAGAGGGAAAGATCAAGGTTAACTCATGAATCAGGGCTAGGAGTTTTGACCTGACCAGGAAATGACCTGACCATGAAAGATTGCCAATAACTAGGACCAGGTTTATTCCTGGTTCCATATATGGTTGAGCTGTGAAGGAAGTTTCTCAAATAGGGCAGTTATTGGTAAGAAATAACATCTTGGTGTCTGATGTTTTCAGATCACAATACAATTACAGACAGGCTAATACAGGTTAAGGCTGGCTTTCATAGGTGCTGAAATGTAACACGTATTGGTTTGGACCAATATGTTATGTGTGTCAGTTGTACCACTTTGGGGGAAAGGAGGCTTCCTCCTTGTCTCCTTCCCTTTCTGGTCTTGATAATGTAGCTAAGAGGAGAGTCTTAAAGCTCTGGATCTCTATACAGTATATTACTCTGGGTAAAAGGGATATGTTTAAATACAGACCAGTGATTATGAATGGATGGAGACTGGGACAGGGGTTCATTTGAAGGCATTGGGACTCCCAAACCTAGCCCCAAGCCCCTAGCACCTAGCTGCTATGTGTAGATCTGAAAGGATATGAAGTAATATGATGATCATTTCACCTAGTCTACCAGAAGGTACCTGTCTAGATCTTTTAGAGCTATAGTACCAGTCAAAAGTTTGGACACACCTACTCATTCAAGGTTCTTGCTTTCTTTTTACTATTTTCTACATTGTAGAATAATAGTGAAGACGTCAACTATGAAATAACACGTATGGAATCATGTAGTATCCAACAAAGTGTTAAACAAATCAAAATATATTTTAGATTTTAGATTCTTCAAATAGCCACCCTTTGCCTTGATGACAGCTTTGCACATACTTGGCATTCTCTCAACCAGCTTCATGAGGAATGCTTTTCCAACAGTCTTGAAGGAGTTCCCACATATGCTGAGCACTTGTTGGCTGCTTTTCCTTCACTCTGCGGTCCAACTCATCCCAAACCATCTCAATTGGGTTGAGGTCAGGTGATTGTGGAGGCCAGGTCATCTGATGCAGGACTCCATCACTCTCCTTGGTCAAATAGCCCTTACACAGCCTGGAGGTGTGTTTTGGGTCAATGTCCTGTTGAAAAACAAATGATAGTCCCACTAAGCGCAAACCAGATGGGATGGTGTATCGCTGCAGAATGCTGTGGTAGCCATGCTGGTTAAGTGTGTCTTGAATTCTAAATAAATCACAGACAGTGTCACCAGCAAAGCACCATCACACCACCTCCTCCATGCTTCACGGTGGGAACCACACATGCGGAGATCATCCGTTCACCTACTCTGCGTCTCACAAAGACACGGCGGTTGGAACCAAAAATCTCAAATTTGGACTCATCAGACCAAAGGACAGATTTCCACCCGTCTAATTTCCATTGCTCGTGTTTCTTGGCACAAGCAAGTCACTTCTTATTATTGGTGTCTTTTAGTAGTGGTTTCTTTGCAGCAATTTGACCATGAAGGCCTGATTCACGCAGTCTCCTCTGAACAGTTGATGTTGAGATGTGTCTGTTACTTGAACTCTGTGAAGCATTTATTTGTGCTGCAATCTGAGGTGCAGTTAACTCTTAACTTATCCTCTGCAGCAGAGGTAACGCTTGGTCTTCCTTTCCTGTGTGGCGGTCCTCATGAGAGCCAGTTTCATCATAGCGCTTGATGGTTTTTGTGACTGCACTTGAAGAAACTTTCAAAGTTCTTGAAATGTTCCGCAGACTGACCTTCATGTCTTAAAGTAATGATGGACTGTCGTTTCTCTTTGCTTATTTGAGCTGTTCTTGCCATAATATGGACTTTGTCTTTTACCAAATAGGGCTTTCTTCTGTATACTAACCCTACCTTGTCACAACACGACTGATTGGCTCAAACGCATTAAGAAGGAAATAAATTCCACAAATTAACTTTTAACAAGGCACACCTGTTAATTGAAATGCATTTAAATGTGTTCCACCTAATGAAGCTGGTTGAGAGAATGCCAAGAGTGTGCAAAGCTGTCATCAAGGCAAAGGGTGGCTACTTTGAAGAATCTCAAATATAACATACAGTGAGGGGGAAAAAGTATTTGATCCCCTGCTGATTTTGTACGTTTGCCCACTGACAAAGACATGATCAGTCTATACTTTTAATGGTAGGTTTATTTGAACAGTGAGAGACAGAATAACAACAACAAAATCCAGACAAATGCATGTCAAAAATTTTATAAATTGATTTGCATTTTAATGAGGGAAATAAGTATTTGACCCTTCTGCAAAACATGACTTAGTACTTGGTGGCAAAACCCTTGTTGGCAATCAGAGGTCAGATGTTTCTTGTAGTTGGCCACCAGGTTTGCACCCATCTCAGGAGGGATTTTGTCCCACTCCTCTTTGCAGATCTTCTCCAAGTCATTAAGGTTTCGATGCTGACGTTTGGCAACTCAAACCTTCAGCTCCCTCCACAGATTTTCTATGGGATTAATGTCTGGAGACTGGCTAGGCCACTCCAGGACCTTAATGTGCTTCTTCTTGAGCAGCTCCTTTGTTGCCTTGGCCGTGTGTTTTGGGTCATTGTCATGCTGGAATACCCATCCACAACCCATTTTCAATGCCCTGGCTGAGGGAAGGAGGTTCTCACCCAAGATTTGACGGTACATGGCCCCGTCCATCGTCCCTTTGATGCGGTGAAGTTGTCCTGTCCCCTTAGCAGAAAAACACCCCCAAAGCATAATGTTTCCACGTCCATGTTTGACGGTGGGGATGTTGTTCT